TATATTTAGTTCTATAACAATTATTATTTTAAATTTATCTTTCTTGTTGAAAGTATTACAGATGTCCCCAACATCGATCAGCTGCCTCCTTGGCACCCCCTTGGCACTTTCCAGTGTTGCAGACCCCCACTGACTCCCTCCACCCCTCCACCCCACTCAAACCCAGTCCTTTGTCGCACTATTGTCTGTGTGCATGGGTTACGCATATACTAGTACGCATATAAGTTGTTTGGTTAATCTCTTCCCATCCTCCCCACCCCCCCTTCTTCTGAAGTATGCCAGTGTTAAGTGCTTTAATGTCTCTGGATCTATTATATTTTGTTTGTCAGTTTATTTTGTTCATTAGATCCACATATAAGTGAGATCATGTGATACTTGTCTGAATTATTTCACTTAGCATAATACTCTCCAGGTCTCTCCGTGCTGTCTCAGAGGGTAAAAGATCCTTCTTTTTTACAGCTGCATAGTATTCCCATTGTGTAAATGTGCCACAATTTTTTTATCCATTCATGTACTAATAAGCATTTGTGCTGTTTCCCCATCTTAGCTACTATAAATAACGCTGCTGTGAACCTAGGGATGTATATTTTCTTTCTGACTGGTGTTTTAGGCTTCTTAGGATATATTCCTAGAAATGAGATCACTGGGTCAAATGGCACTTCCATTTTTAATTTTTTGAGGAAACTCCACACTTTTTAATAATGGCTGCATCAGTCTGCATTCCCACCAGCAGTGTACTGGGGTTCCTTTTTCTCCACATCCTCATCCTGTTGATTTATTGATGGTAGCCATTCTGGCAGGTGTGAGGTGGTGCCTCATTGTTGTTTTAATTTTTGCATCTCTCTGATAATTAGTGACATTGAGCATTTTTCATGTCTTTTGGCTATTTGTATGTCCTATTTGGAGAAGTGTCTATTCAGGTCTCTACCCATTTTTTAACTGGGTTGTTTATCTTCCTTTTGTTGAGTTGTATGAGTACTTTATACATTTTGGAAATTAACTCCTTATCAGATGTATCATTGGCAAAATACATTCTTCCATACAGTGGATTCCCTTGTCATCTTGATTCTGGTTTCTTTTGCTGTGCAGAAGCTTTTTATTTTGATGTAATTCTGTTTGCTTATTTTTTCCTTTGTTTCTCTTCCCCTAAGTGATATATTTATGCAAATTCTGCTACATGAGATGTCTGAGATTTTGCTGCCAATAGTTTCTTTTATAATTTTTATGATTTCACAACTTACATTTAAGTCTTTTATCTATTTTGAGTTTATTCTTATGTATAGTGTAAGTTGGTGGACTTGTTTCATTTTTTTTTTTTTTTGCATGTACCTGTCCTATTTCCCCAACACCATTTTTTGAAGAGACTGTCTTTACTCCATTGTATGCTCTTGCCTCCATCATCAAATATTAATTGAACATAATGGCTTGAGTCAATTCTAGTTTCTCCGTTGTTACATTGATCTATATGCCTGTTCTTGTGCCTTTACCAGGCTGTTGATTAGTAGTGGCTTTGTAGGATCACTTGATACCCACTATTGTCATCCCACCAATTTTATTCTTCTTTCTTAAGATTGCTGAGGCTATTTGGGGTCTTTTTTTATTCCATGTGAATTTTTAGAGTACTTGTTCTAGATCTATGAAATATGCTATTGTGTGTTTTTAAAAAATACTTTTATTAATTTTAGAGAGAAAGGGTGAGAGAGAAAGAGATAGAAACATCAGTTATGAGAGAGAATCATTGATTGGCTACTTCCTGCACGTCCCCTACTGGAGATCGAGCCCCCAACCCGGGCATTGATGTTTCTGTCTCTCTCCCCTGCTACCTTCCTCTCTGAAATCAATTTTTTTTTTTTAATTTTAATGGGTATTGGATTTTGTTGAATACTTTTTCTGCATCTATTGATTTGATCATGTGATTTATCTTTCAGTGTGTTTATGTGAGAATACAAAATTTCTGTAATATGTTTCTTTTTTTAAATCGTATTTTATTGATTTTTTTACAGAAAAGGGAAAAGGACAGAGTTAGAAACATCAATGAGAGAGAAACATCGATCAGCTGCCTCCTGCACACGCCCTACTGGGGATGTGCCCGCAACCAAGGTACATGCCCTTGATCGGAATCAAACCTAAGACCCTTCAGTCCGCAGGCTGACGCTCTATCCACTGAGATAAACCGGTTAGGGCCAGAATTTCTGTTTTTGTTTTAAATTACAGTTCCTGCTGCAGTGATATAATAGACATAACAGTTGGGGGGGGGCGGGGGAGTGGAGTTAATGAATTCATCCATCAAATACTGAACACCTAATATGTGCTTGGCACTATTTCCCGTGTTGCAGACCAAAATAAAATCCTTGCTCTTCATGGAGCTTATATTCTGTTATAGGGAGATAACTGCAATCAAGTATACAATAGAACAAATATAATTTTAGCCCATGATAAATTTTTAAAGGAAACAAAATGGAAACAGGATAGAGTATGATTGAGATGGGGCTGGGGAAAAGATGATGATACTGGAGCTATGACTTAGTGGCAGGCCAGTGGAAATGTGTCCCAAGTAGAAAACAAAAATCACAAAGGCCCTGAGAAGGAGGCTGAAATATAGAAGAAGCAGAAGGCAGTGCAACTAAATCATAGTAAACAAAAGGGGAGATGGAACAAGATCAGAGAAGTAACTTACCGGATGTTACACAGCCTTGAAGTCCAAGCTAAAGATTTTTGCTTTTATTATAAGTACAAAGGGAAGCCATTGGAGGGTGTTTAGCAAGGACATGATATTTTGAATATATATCTATAAATACAGATCTATATATTTTAAATCACTCTGGTTGCTCTTTGGTAAGTGGATAGTAGCAGTGCAAGGTGGTTGCGAACAGACCAGTTAAGAGGCTTTATGTTGACATAATGACTGGGATTAGTTTCACTTCAAGTACAAGGAGAATGATAAAATTAACAAGGTTAGTCCTGGCTGAGGCTTAGTGGTTAGAGCATTAGGCCACATCCTGAAGGATCTTGGGTTTGATTCCTGGTCAAGAGCATGTTGCCTGGTTTGAAGGTTTGATTCCAAGCCCCTAGTTGGGGCACGTATGGGAGGCAACCCATGAATGTGTCTCTCTCACATTGATGTTTCTCCTCCCCCAGCTCCCCTAAAAATCAATGGAAAAAATGTCCTCAGGTGATAATTAACCATAAAAAAGAAACAAGCTTTGCCATGAATTAAAGCTGAAATGTATGAGAACATGGGTGTTGTTGTTTTTCTTACAGCAGTCTAGGTGAAAAATGATGGTGCCATGGACCTTTCATTGTTAGAGTATTAGTGGAGTTAAGTGGACAGTTTCAAGAATGATTTAAAAGTAAAGTTCAATATGTACACAGATAATAATTTAATAAAAATTAATTAATTAATTAATTAAAAAATAAATTTAAAAAAAGAAACTTTCCTCTTGTTGGAGGAAAAAGTCACCCAAAAAATAAAATAAAAAAATAAATAAAAGAAAGTTCATGGGTTTTTCTGATGGGTTACATATATATTATAAGAAAAAGGAGAAACCAGTAATAACTTATATATTTGACTCAGACAACTTGGGTGGATGAGGCTAGGGATCAGGTTCATGAGGGCCTCAAGAGATTAGTTTTGGCAATGTAAGTTTGAGATGCCAATTACTTTTCCAAGTGGAAATGTAGAGTAGGCAGTATCCTGTCTAATAAAAGAGTAATATGCAAATTAACCATCACTCCAACACACAAAATGGCTGCCCTCCATGTGGTCAAAGATGGTTGCCCTCATGTGGACACAAGATGGCCACCACAAGATGGCCAGCAGGGGATGGTAGTTGTGGGCAATCAAGCCAGCAGGGAAGGGCAGCTGGAGGGGACCAGACTGGCAGTGGAGAGCAATTAGGGGTGACCGGGCCTGCAGGGGAGGGCAGTTAGGGGCAATCCAGCTAACAGGGGAGCAGTTAGGCATTGATCAGACTGACAGGGGAGTGGTTAGGGGCAATCAGGCAGGCAGATAGGCAAGCAGTTGGGAGTTAGCAGTCCTGGATTGTGAGAGGAATGTCAGACATCCCTCAAGGGGTCCCAGATTGGAGAGGATGCAGGCTGCGATGAGGGACACCCCAACCCCCTTGCATGAATTTCATGCACCGAGACACTAGTATGTCTAATAATAGTAACTAATCTTTACTAAAGACACCATTCTTAAGAAGCTGTAGTCTGCCGAAACCGGTTTGGCTCAGTGGATAGAGTGTCGGCCTGGGGACTAAAAGGTCCCGGGTTCGATTCCGGTCAAGGGCATGTACCTTGGTTGTGGCACATCCCCTCTCTCTTCCTCTCTGTAAAAAATCAATAAAATATATTTTTTTAATAAAAAGAAGCTGTAGTATTGACTCCTCACAACATCCTTATTTTATTTTCTGTTTTATGGATAATAGAATTTAGACCCCAAAAAATTCACTCAGGTAAGAAGTAGTAGAACCAGGATTCAAATCTAGGCAGTCTGGTTCCAGAATCTTTACCCTTTTTATGTTTCCAGAGTCTTCACTCTTAACTGCTATCATGTAATGTATATGGAATATATTAAGTCTGTTTCATAAAAATTGTCTAGGCATGCCGGAACCAGTTTGGCTCAGTGGATAGAACGTCGGTCTGCGTACTGAGGGGTCCCAGGTTCGATTCCGGTCAGGAGCATGTGCTTTGGTTGCGGGCACATCCCCAGTGGGGGAGTGTGCAGGAGGCAGCTGGTCGATGTTTCTCTCTCATCAGTGTTTCTAGCTTTCTATCCCTCTTCCTTCTTCTCTGTGGAAAATCAATAAAATATATATATTTTTTAAATTGTCTAGGCAGAACTGTATGAATAACCATGGTCTCTTTTGATTTTATTTTTACTTCATACCATGAAGTTGGGACTTTGGAGTAGAGAAGAGAAAATAATTCCAAAGTGGGTCTCCATCTTAGTCTTTGATTATTTATTTATTTGTTTGTTTGTTTGTTTATTTTTGTAGCATCAGCGAGAGCTTTCTAACTGTCAAAGGTGCTGCCCTTTTTCTACCACGGGGAAATGGCTCATCCACACCAAGAATCAGCCACAGACGCAACAAGCATGCAGGTAAAGCTCAACATAATCCATTCCTTTCTTGGTTTCTTTGATTCTTTTGTTCTAAAAGGTTGGCTACCTCATCCCCATTTCTCCAACAGTTCTGTAGTAGTGAAAGAAAGCTTTCCACTGTGCTAATCTCACCTTTCTTTAACTCTGAGACCATTTTTGTGACACTTAGCAGAATGCCTTATACATTTCATAGATGTTCAATAAATATTTGCCGGAAAAATAATGAGGTACAAAAATACTCTAATAAAGTCTATATGGCCAAAATCGGTTTGGCTCAATGGATAGAGCGTCAGCTTGGGGACTGAAAGATCCCGGGTTCGATTCCGGTCAAGGGCATGTAGCTTGGTTGCGGGCATATCCCCAGTAGGGGATGTGAAAGAGGCAGCTGATCGATGACTCTCTCTCATCGATGTTTCTAACTCTATCTCTCTCCCTTCCTCTCTGTACAAAAATCAATAAAATATATTTTTTTTAAATAAAAATAAAGTCTATATGACTTCTCAATTAAGGTTTTGATAACTAAAAGATGTTCAGATGTTTCCTTGAATCCTATGCAAAATTATTTCAAGTAACCAAAGATCACATTTCTTTTTCCTGTCTACACTCTATTGATGCTATATGGAAAATGATATGATTCATTCATTCATTCATTCATAAGTAGATAGAGATAGATAGGTAGGTAGATAGATAGATAGATAGATAGATAGATAGATAGATAGATAGAAAGAATATATACTGAGATAAATAAGCTCAGTGTCATTGCTGTGATATCAAGTTAGTAAATCACATTGAAAACACTAATTATGTACTAGAGTATACTTCTTGATTGTGTATGCACTAAAAAGACTGGGAATTTAACTCAGAGAACTTTTATAGGAACAAGAAGTCATCAAATAAAGTTTACCTAGATATGGATATAATAATCTGATTTTTAATAACCTGCTAGCATTCTGCTTCCTATTCCAATCTGAGGTTTTTTCCTACACACATCCACGCAATTTTAGGACACCAGAGGGGTGTTTACAATTCAACTGAATTCTGACACTGTCAGACAGCTCAGATCCCAGCCCAGTTGTCCAAAACTTCTTGCTCCTCATTTCAGATGTCAATTATAAGTCCAGATTGTCTCTGGATTGAAGGTTCCAATGACCCCTTCTTGGGTTCATTTTTTTTCCAGAGCAGCTCACATTACTTAGAGAAACTTATTATGAAAGGATATAACTCAGTAATAGCCAGATGGAAGAAGTGCATAGAGCAAGATATGTGGAAATGGGTACAGCATTTCTAAGCTTTCTTTAAATGTGTCATTCACCCCAAATCTCCATGTGTTCACCAACATGGAAGCTCTCTGAACCCACTCCTTTGGGTTCGTATGGAGGCTTTATTACATAGGCATAATTGATTTAAATTATTGTCCCGTGGTGATCTAGCCAACCTCCAACCCTCCCCTCTCAAGCTTTTTCTTCTTTCCCTGTCCCCTGGCAACCAGCCTCCATCCTTGAATATGTTCCAAAAGTTGTGTCATTAACATAAGACACTATGATTGCTCTCCTCAACTTCAGAAATTCTAAGGGTTTTTGGAGCTCTGTGCCAGGAACAGGATGAAGACCAAATATATATTTTTTATAAATCACAATATCACACCTGCTAATAGTAGTTACATGCATTTATATTTCCATATGTTGGATTTCTCTAAAGTCAGATGTAATTGTGCTGACAAAGATAAGAAAGAATCAGAGAAAGTGCATCTAGGGAAAATGGTCTTTAGGCATAGGCTACCTCTAGGTTTAGGAAGATGGTGTATGCCTCTCTTCTGACAGCAAGCCTTGTTTATGTCATTTGGGAGGAAAATAAAAGGATAGTAATTGAAAATTACTGAGGATAGTAATTGAAAGATCCTGATCAGTGCTGTTCAAAGAGTGAACACTTATGGTTATAAATGTGCCACTTTGATATGTTACCTCAAGGAGTGAAATATTTTGGAATTACCAGGAAGAGAACAAAGCAGATTGCAAATCTTAAGTGTGTAGGTCAGAGGTGAAAGCCAGAAATACTGTATCCCATAAGCCAGTAGTTGTGTTTAGCTCCAGTCCAAATAATCTCAGTTATTTTAGTGGCTGTCCCACTTCTTATTTGAACCTTCATCTAGTTATAAATGTAGCAGCTCAGAATTATAACTCATCTCATTGGATTATTCTCCTACCACAATTCTTCAGCATGGACATTTTTTAAAAGAGTAAAGGGGAAAAAAACTCTTGAACCATTAGCTTTGGATTACATTTTCTAAAACCTTCCTCTTCAGTGCCCACCACCAGAAGGGGAGTAGGGGGAAGGACACTTCCCCCCAAAACTAAATGCACAGAGCAAGTAGACCCAGCTAAGCTTTGTATTTCTGTTTGGTGTGGATATTTATCACTTACAGTAAAGAGAAGACAAAATATTGGTTTAAATCCAGCTTGTTTGACTAAGATGTTAGGCAGATTGCTCTGTGGCATGTAATAAGAAGTGGGGTTGCTGGCTTTCTAGGTTCCTGGCCCTGGTTGGCCTTTTTCTTTCACCAAGCTTCTACACTCAACTGCCACCCAGGTTTCTACTTGACCTTGTTCGCTTAGCTTTCCCCATACTAAAAAGAAAAGCAGATTGGACACAAACTGAATGGGCTTGATTTGTAATCCAGATCAGAACAGATGAGGCAGTGTGGGTGTAAACACAGCTTACAAAACAAGACCTTCACATAAGCTAGAGCTGTCTTGGCTGACCTCACAGTGACTGAAAGATGATGGCAGAATTGAGAGCAGATCAAGGGCTTATTATGTCTAATTGTACTTTCTTATGCATGTTTCTTACACTAGTTAGAATTCCTTATCTGGGCTTCATTTAAAATATTCCAACGCTTTTTTATCACATTGGACTTAAAAAAGAGGTGGACCTAGATGGGCAGGAATGAAGTTTTTCTTCTCTGATTGTATTAATTTATGATAGTACATTATCTGATTATCTCCTAATATCTAAAGCCTCAGAATCCTAGTACAGAATAGAGAATATGAGATAACCTATAATAGTTTAATACAAAAAAATTTCAACTTTGTTTTATAGGATATATAAGAACAAAGGATTCAAATAATAGTTGGCCATTTTAAAATGCTTAATATGTTCTAGATATACATTCCTTGAGATCTACTATATTTAATAAGTATTTTTATTTTAATGTCAGCCATTAATGTAGAAATAATTTTAAACTGTTGACAATATTCTAGGGGGAAATCCGAACATCTTCTTAGGTTAAGTGCAACTGGAGATTATTGATGAAGAAATAAGAATGGCAAGATTCACTGGTACCTTCTTGTGGGTTTGAAAGTACAGCCAGTACTGCCTTTGCCCAGCAGATTTCACACCCCCACTTTCATCAACATACTCCACAGTACAAAAGGGAGATTGGTTTCAAGTGTCCCTTCCATAGGACAAAAACAAACAAGCGTTACTGTAGTATAGGCTAAAAGTCAAGATAATTATAGTCCTTCAGTGAACCAAAACTTTTACACGTCATTAGAGTAGATGTTGACACTGCAATAGAGAATAATTACTTTTTTGTTTTGTAAATTTCACCAGGTGATCTCCAACAGCACCTCCAAGCAATGTTCATATTACTCCGCCCAGAAGACAACATCAGGCTGGTAAGTTAGTGTATCCCTATAACTCTCTTCCTCAAAAGACTGTTCAATACATCGAACTTTATGCAGTCATTTTTATGTCCCAACACAGTACTGGGAATTCCATGGGAAGAAAAGAATGGCATGTCCCTATTATCAAAGAGCTTAGAATTGAGGATATGAACTAGAGTGAAATGTTGTGAAATAATTTGATGATTTAAGACTTGGTGAATACCAGTTTGTACTTTATTGACCATAACAACAATTAAAGTTCTGAAAAGAGGAAACTTGGAGCTTGAGCTGAGTCTTGACTTAGATTGCAAGAAGAAAGGAGACCTTCATTCTAGATAAGGACACAACTGAAGCAAAAGCACACTAGAAAGAGACAAGATGAGAGTGCAATGGCCGAGGTTTTATGCTGGTCTCAGAGTTGGGAGACCTGGGCTTTAGTTTTTACTACTCATCTGATGTTGGACAAGTTGCTTAGCGTGTCTGTGCCTGCTTTCCATCTTCTTTCATGGTGTAGAGAATCAAATGGATGTGAAAGCATTATTGAGTATAAAATGCTACCAAATAGGGGGATTATTGTTACTATAGGGAAGATAAGATACCAGAAATGAGGCAGGCAGATAAGGATTTCATGCTCCAAACTAAAGGTCTCAAACCCCCAGTCCATTAGCCAGAGATGTGTTTTGTTTGGACTGATTCCTTGTTTAGGGTTTGTTTGTTCAATATCAGCCAGAATTTTAAAGTTGGGTGGTTTTACATAAAAAATCCAGACTTGAGTCTTTTTTTCAATATTCTGGCAACACTGAAACCTGTTGTCATATGCCAAACTTGACTAGACCTGGTGGAAGGGAGAACATTGGTGTGGCCTGGATTCTTAATCTGCCATAATCTCCACATATACTATTGTCTCCTGGACAGTAAAGCCATGTGTCACCCTTTGTCGTCATTGCTTCACTGTTTTCTTATAGTAAAACATCTCATAGAAGTAGGAAATCAAAAATGGGATGAGTATGTTTCTTTATGGAAAGTGAAAAGTTGTTCTACACACTTAATATTCACATGGCCTATTTCACTCATATCCTCCATTTAAACCTCTAGATTAATACTTGGAGGTGGTACCTCTACCTCTTCAGTAAGCAGTAGTAAAGCATTACAGGTTTCTGAGCCAAGGAATTACTAGGAGAGCTACAGTATTTAAGAAAAATTCCTCAAAAGCGAATACAGAATAAAGAGGAGGAGGAGGACATCTTAAATTAGGGAGACCTGCCGGGTAGTTAGGTAATCCAGGTGTGTGAGGATAACTCTTCCAGCGTAGGCAGGTAACTTGAAAATTGGGTTTCCACAGACATGTCAAGTTCAAGTACTTAATCTCTGCTTCTCTCTGGAATGAGAGATAATGAGTAGAATATAAGAATAACTAGAAAGGCCTTATGATGATCAGGCCTCTGAATTCTATGGTAATTACTGATTCTTTATTCACTTAATTATTATTTGTTTAAATTATTTTTTCCCCTTTCAATTGCTGCCTCTCTCACCTTGACATAGCCACTAATTTTTGTTGAAAAAGTAATTTAAAGGAATTGCAATAAGAAATCCTCTCATGCCAAGACGGGTTTGGCTCAATAGATAGAGCGTCGGCTTGGGGACTGAAGGGTCCCAGGTTCGATTCTGGTCAAGGGCATGTACTACCTTGGTTGTGGGCATATCCCCAGTGTGGGGTGTGCAAGAGGCAGCTGATCAATGACTCTCTCTCATCGATGTTTCTAACTCTCTATCTCTCTCCCTTCCTCTCTGTACAAATTCAATAAAAAAATATTTTTTTAAAAAAAGAAAGAAATCCTCTCGTAATTATTTTATATTCTAATCCTAAAGTAGCATTTATACACTTTTATATATCAATATTATAAATTTTTTTCTATATTTCTTGACATACGTTGTCTTAAATAAATGAACAAAGTGGAATGCAGTTCTTACAGCATTACTAAAAATAGTGATACTCCAGCTTTAGAGTACAGCAGAATCACCTGCAGAGTCTTGTGAAGCTGCCGCTTGCTGCACTCTACCTGCTGAGTTACCCATAATAATGGTTATTTGCATATATCATGTGTCCAATACATATTTGTTGATAGTTTCCAAAAATTGTGTAGTTTGGTAGAGCTAAATCTGACATCTGTCACTCACTTTTTCTCATTGATAACCTACGGAGTTTGGATTGCACCTCTACTAGTAAATGTCAAAATAATTTTAACAATAAGAGACATGGGAGAACATTAAGGGAGCAATTAGGAAGGTAGAATTAACAATTAAATTTTTTTATTTCCTTGCTAAAATACGCAGCTTTAGCTGCTTTGCATATCTAAAATGTAAATTCGGGAAATATAACTGATGCTTCTGAATTAATTCAGAGTTCAAATGACAAGCCTTTTTGCAGTTGTTTGAATTGTTACAAACACATAGTCATTATGTTTCAGATTATTGTGTGAGTCATCTTCAAGAAAATGAGTGAATACATTGTGTGCTTTGGACAAATTAGCACTTTCTAACTGAAAGGAGCGTTTGTAGACTCAAAGCAAAGCCTTTTGTTTTGAGTTAAATTTGGAATGCTAAAATTCTTATTCTGGGACTGGGGCATAAGGTTAAAAGTTTGATAGTCAACTGAAAGCCCTGCCTTTAATTTTTTAATAACTCAAAAATAAATAGAGTTACCAAATCCCACATTTTGCTTCAGCATTAAAAATAGGGCTAAATTTTTTCTCCAGAGAATCCTGCTTTCAAAATAGTTTCAACTTAGGAAGACCATAGCTGGTACAATAAAGACAGTGGTTTATATATAGTACGGTTGCACATTATCAAATACTCATTTATTTATTAAAAAATAGACTGGGAGCTAAAACCGGTTTGGCTCAGTGGTAGAGCGTTGGTCTGCAGACTGAAAGGTCCCAGGTTCGATTCCGGTCAAGGGCATGTGCGTTGGTTGTGGGCACATCCCCGGTAGGGGGTGTGCAAGAGGCGGCTGGTCAATGTTTCTCTCTCATCGATGTTTCTGGCTCTCTATCTCTCTCTCTTCCTCTCTGTAAAAAACCAATAAAATATATTTAAAAAAATAGATTGGGAATTTAAGGACTTTTCTAACATTTGAAATAACATCAGCTAATATTTTTAACTAGAGCTGAAGTGTGCTGATAAGGTATGAGGAGGTGTTTTTGAGGAGAGTTTAAGAAAATAAGTTTTTGTGTGTGGTTTTTTTTGTTTTTTGGTTTTTTTTAAATATATTTTATTGATTTTGTACAGAGAGGAAGGGAAAGAGATAGTTAGAAACATCGATGAGAGAGGAACATCGATCAGCTGCCTCTTGCACACCCCCCACTGGGGATTTGCCCGTAACCAAGGCACATGCCCTTGGCCGGAATTGAACCCGGGACCTTTCGATCCGCAGGCTGACGCTCTATCCACTGAGCCAAACCGATCTCGGCAAAAAATAAGTTTCTTCTAACAAATTTTTAAAAACATTCTTAGCTATTTGGATAAGTACCCTTCTAGTCGTGTGTGTGTGTGTGTGTGTGTGTGTGTGTGTGTGTGTGAGAGAGAGAGAGAGAGAGAGAGAGAGAGAGAGAGAGAGAGAGAGAGAGAGAGAACGCTTCTGAGAATTGTTCTTATTGAGGTGGACAGTGATGAAAATAGCCAAATCTGGGCATCCGAAAACCTTCTAGTCTATCTAAAGCATTATCTCTGTAATTCTAAGAATCAAAAGTATAAAGTAATGTAAGATAATAAGGGCTTATGTCTGGGGGAGTAGGTGGAAGGGTTATGCACGTATGGGTATGGGTGTGTGTTTATAAAAGTGACAGTGGCCGAAACCGGTTTGGCTCAGCGGTAGAGCGTCGGTCTGCGGACTGAAAGGTCCCAGGTTCGATTCCGGTCAAGGGCATGTACATTGGTTGTGGGCACATCCCTGGTGGGGGGTATGCAAGAGGCAGCTGGTCGATGTTTCTCTCTCATTGATGTTTCTAGCTCTCTCTCTCCCTTCCTCTCTGTAAAAAAATCAATAAAATATATATATTTTTAAAGTGACAGTGGATAACTGAGCACTTGTTAATGAATATTGAGACTGGGGGGGGGGGGTGTATATGAAATGAAAGGCTTAGTAGTTCTAAGCAAAAGTATGCCAGAGAGAGTTGTTTTTTTACAAGTGCTGTTTATAATCTTTCTTGACACTTGATCTGGATATTTTTCCATGTCAGTAAATAAAACTTTTTAAATAGCTACACAGAATATGTCAGATTTTTTTCTTCTTCGAGAATTTCATAAAGATAGATTTAAAAAAAAAATAATGTCCAGAGTCTCCTTCAAGCTGTATTACTTTTGAATTCAGTGTTTTTTAATTTATTAGTGTCACATAAAGTCTCCTTTAATTTTCAATATTGACTTTGTTTTGTTCTTTTGGCAAGAATGTAATATTTACATACTTTTGAAACTTTTCTCTAATGGTTTGGGTGAGCTGCCTGTCTAGACGCTGGGACTTTATAACGTGGCTTCCTGCAGGTAAACATTGCATGCAGGGACATGATGTTAGACTCTTGGTGGGAAAAAAAAGTAAAGGCAAAGGTACCGGGTTGCTTAGGGAGGAGTATTTCCTGATGTTGGATGATGCTGAGGAGATAAGTTATTGGATCAGATGGTATTTGTGAACTGATGTAATCAGATACATTTAAATTTAGTTACTGAGGGAAGTTTTAACGTCACTCTTTATAGATAAACTTTGAAAATAGGTTGGATTCTTGCCTCAGAAATAAATCAAAAGCATGTTACTTCTCAGACCTACCTCAGTCCTAGGATTGCTGGATCCAGTTCACCTGAAACTTGTAATAGGATTTCAAATGTAGTCAATAAATGGACTTTCTTGGAATAATTTTCTCAATTGCTGTTGCTGCCCATTTCAAAAATCTAAAATACTGTTTTTTGTGGACAATTAGAATAAACTGCAGTAATATCCTTTTCATTGATAACTTTAATTAATCAGATGCATCTGAATTGTCTTATTCCACACATTTGTTTCATTTAAGTTCTGGAGACTAGAAATGTTGGAATTGCTGCCAATTCTAATATTAGGTTATTATGTACAAACTACCACTTTAAATTACATTTCTCTGATTGGCTTAGTAAATTAAATTAGATTATTATATTTTGTAATCTTCTCCCCCCAAAAAAGAAATATGAAATGAACCTCAAAACATAGTGAATATTTGATTTTTTCTTAATGCTCTGTCTCTTAAAATTGTTATTTCCTTGAGCTAGAATTTTGAAGCTTAAGAATTTTGGACAATGAAGAATTTTTTCTATAAAGAATTTTATTTCATTTTTCTAATTAGGATGTAATTGAAGTAATGTCATGGCGCCTGACCCTCTGATTAAATAAGCTACACTTCCCATTAGTAAGAATTTAACAATTTCTGTAGATACCTTCACCAAATCCCAGGACCTCTAAGTGCTATTCTTCCAAGAAGCTTAAAATTCAGTGAATCTGAGATATGCTGTTATTTAGGCCCAAGTCAGAATGAGATGACTGGGGCCTTTCCCATTAGGATTGGGATGTTCCATTGACATGAGGGCCAAACATTTGAAATGCTTTGTATAAGATAGATGGAAGGAAGGAAGGAAGGAAGGAAGGAAGGGAGGGAGGGAGGGAGGGAGGGAGGGAGGGAGGGGGGGGGAGGGGGGGAGGAAGGAAGAAATAGAGTGTTGTTCAGTGGTTAGAATGTTGGCCACACTCCAAAGGGTCTCAGGTTTGATTCCCGATCAAGGGCACGGTTGCAGGTTGGATCCCTGGCAACCAATCAATGTGTCCCTCACATAAATGTTTCTCTCTTCTCTCTCTCGCTCTCCCCTTTCCTCCCTTCCACTCTGTCAAAAAGCAATGGAAAAATTATACTTGGGTCAGGGTTTTAAAGAATAAAAGGAGACAACTAGTGTTTGCACTGAACAGTACAAAGAAACTTGTTGCCCACCTGCTAAGTTGGCCCAATAACATGCATGATAGTTAATACTTAAGGAGGTTATTTTTTTTTTTCCTTTTATCAGTTTCAACTTAGCTAATCAGTTGCCACTGGTTGGTGTAGAAGCTGTCGGTAAATTATCAGAACCGCAGTTTAGTTGTTCCCATGCCATTTGTATTAATATTTGAGCATCGCCAGAAATTCTCAGAGCCTTGACAGAGGAAAAAAGCGCCTCTAACAAACATATTCTGCAAAGTGAACATTTGGCTCAAAGCTTGCCTGGGCAAGCCCAAGTTTAGACATATAATAATATCTGAGATCTTGTTTATAAGAAACTCCAGTTTACCTGCACTGGATTACTAGTTAATTTAATATTTTGTGAAGCATCTCTAGAATCAGAGAGTCCATGATGCCTCCAGTCTCTGTTGCATGTACTCCTAGCCATAGCTCTTTGTGTATACCCTCACGTGGTCCCAGCACACTAGGGCTTGACCTTCATCAACTTAACTATTAGCTCCTCTTGGCTTCTCACAAATAAATTTGGGTTGAAATGCTCTATTCATAGAACATAAAGCTAGGAGTGCAGCTCTCTACCTTGTGTACTTGGAATCAAGTGAACATTACTTCTTGCATCACTTTTTAGTAGAAACAAACTTTAATGTAGCCACTTCTGCTGTTTGTGCTTCCTGGCTTTTCTTAGGAGTGTCAGAATAGAGACAAAAAGATATCTATAGAATCACCTCTGCCTTGATAAATGCGTCGTTTGAGCTATGTAACTATGTCTCTTTTTCCCTTGGCCTGGCCAGTGATGGAATTAGGGGAAGGAGACTCCAAGAAGAACAGCACTGAAAGAATTCCAAAAAAAATTTTCTGTTGTCTTGAGCCAGTTAATGGTTTTGGAACTCTCTCTTCTGAGATAAGGAATGTGGGTGGGGTTAATTTATACAGAAGAAATTACCTCTAGTATTCATTTCCCTGGCTTTTTGTTATAGAGAAAAAGAATGGACTAAACTGTACACTTCATGAGGGTAGGAACTATATTTCTCTTTCTTCTCTACCCGTGAATCTTCAGCACTTCTGCTCTGATTGTATACACAATAGATAAATAGTAAATATTTGAATGAATATTGAGTGGAAGTGATTTTACTTTATTTTTAAGATTTATAAAGTATCTTTTTGAGCTTCTTATTAATAAGATTCTCAAATATATAAAGCACAAACTATATCCTTATGAACCCATTACACAGCTTTAATAACCATCAACATTTTGCCAGATTTCTTTCATCTAGTTCCCCTTTTTTTTTCTTTTTGTTGGAACATTTTCAAATCACTTTATTGAAGTATAATTGAAATACAAAAAATTGTACATATTTTATGTATACAACTTGAAAAGTTTGGAAATAAATAAAGACCATTAAACCATCACCACAATCTATGCCATGAACATATCCCTAACCTGAAAACCTTTATTTTTAAAAAATATATTTTATTGATTTTTTACAGATAAAATAAAATATATTTTATTGATATTTTATATATTTTATAAAATATATTTTATTGATTCTTTACAGAGAGGAAGGGAGAGGGATAGAAAGTTAGAAACATCGATGAGAGAGAAACAATGATCAGCCGCCTCCTGCACACCCCCCACTGGGGATGTGCCCACAATCAAGGTACATGCCCTTGATTGGAATCAAACCTGGGACCCTTCAGTCCACAGGTCAATGCTCCATCCACTGAGCCAAACCGGTTAGGGCAAAACTTTATTTTTTAGAGCAGTTTTAGGTTCACAGAAGATTTGAGCAGGAGGTACAGCAGGTCCTCAACTAAAGTCATTTCATTCAACCTTGTTTTCTATTACAACATTGATGAGATGCCACAGGAACATAACTGGCTTCTATCAATTAGCCCCTGGTAAAATTGGTTTTGTTATATGTTGTTTTGTTTAAAGTCACAGAAGCTATTGATGATATTAAGTGAGGACTTGCTGTCAGAGATTTCCTATATACCCTCTGTTCCCATAGCCTTCCCCCATTACCTTCATTCCCCACCAGAGTTGTACATTCATTACAATTTATAGACCTACATTGAAACATCGTTATCAACTCCAAGTCCATAGTTTACATTAGGATTTACTCTTTGATATTGTATATTCTATGGGTTTTAATAATGATGTGTAGCCCTAGCTGGTTTGGCTCAGTGGATAGAGCGTCGGCATGCAGAGTGAAGGGTCTTGGGTTCGATTCCAGTAAAGGGCACATGCCCAGATTGTGGGCTCGATCCCTAATGGGGGCTGTACAGGAGGCAGCCAATCTATGATTCTCTCTCATCTTTGATATTTCTCTCTCTCCCTTCCTCTCTGAAATCAATAAAAATATTTTAAAAACAATAATAATGACATGTATCCACCACTTTAGTATTATACAAAGTAGTTTCCCTGCCCTAAAAATCCTCTGTGCTCTCCTAACCCATGGCAACAAATGATCATTACTGACTCTAGAGTTTTGTCTTTTCTAGAATGTCATATAGTTGGAATCATACAGTACCTACTCTCTTCAGATGGCTTCTTTCCCTTAGTAGTATGCATTTACGATTCCTCCCTGTCTTTTTATGGCTTGATAGTTCATTTCCTTTTAGTGCTAAATAATATTCCATTGTCTGGTTTACCATAGATTGTCCATTCAACTACTGAAGAGCATCTTAGTTGCTTCCCATTATTGGAATATTTTAAAGCAAAACTTGAATGCCATGTCATTTCATTTCAGATACGTAAGAAAAAGATAATGATCTTGATGTCATTATCACACTAACAAATCCTTAATATCATCTAAGACCATGTCCATATTCAAATTTTCTGAAGTCGCTTTTAAAATATCACAAATAAGCAATGAATAAAAACTTTATGATAAAAAATAATATAACCTTCAATTGTTATTGAAACTAAAGAAATTTTATAGTATATAATCTATAAGAATTCAATAGAGCAACTCCTCTTAGATATTAATAGTTTGCTTTGTATTATCATTGTTCATGGGATTTGAATCTCTGAGTTCAGTGTTCCTAATTCATACAACTTCACACCTCCCGATCTTTAGAACATGAGCTGATAATTGTTGTTGTTATTATAAATTGTGCTAATTGTAAACATTTATTGAGCATTTATTTACTGTATACCAAGCACTGTGCTGTACATGCATTATTTTATTATTCTTAAAGCCCAATAGGATAGGTATTATTATATCTCCCTCTAATTAATTTAGTAATATTTATAGTTTTTATAGTTAATACATGAGCTGTATTTGAATGTGGTTCTCCTAACTACGGGTTTTGCCATCTCCCTAAGTATGCTTTAAGATGCTAATGTAAAAAGGGTTGAATGATATAAAATTGACCTTCTAAATTTCTTTGTTGTCTGTTAACCTCCAGGCTGTAAGACTAGAAAGTACTTACCAGAATCGAACACGTTATATGGTAGTGGTTTCAACCAACGGTAGACAAGACACTGAAGAAAGCATCGTTCTAGGAATGGATTTCTCCTCTAATGACAGGTATGGTTCCATAAATAACCTATTTCAGTTGCCTTTTGAATTACCACAAAAACATCTTATGCAATGCTCCTCTTAAAGTTAAATGCCTAAAACCAAAGAACTCCAGAATATCTTAGTCACACAATCTTGAGAGATGAAAATGTTTAATGAATGTCTTTAGTAATGTGTTTCTAGTTTATTAGATCTAGTAATAATTAATGTCGTTTTCTAATACTTTTTAAAATCGAATTTATTCAAACAATACAACAAAATTTAATCAACAATATAGTTGCCGTTGTTTTCTACTACTTGTGCCCAACGCTCAGGAAGCATTTTAATCCCTCTGTTGTAAAATTCTTGTGATTTTGATGCAAAAAATTCGGTCAATGCATTTTTGAGGCATTCTTCATTATTAAATTTTTTTCCAAGAAGAAAGTTTTGCAAAGAACGAAACAAATGGTAATCGGAAGGGACAATATCAGGAGAATATGCAGGTTGAGGGAGAACTTCCCATTCCAACTGACGCAGTTTTTCAGCAGTGATTCTTGCAGTATGCGGTCGTGCGTTATCGTGGTGAAGAATTACGCCCTTCCGATTAATCAGCGCGGGTTCTTTTTCTCTTAAAGCTTGGGCTAACCTTTCCAATTGGGCACTATACACTGCACTTGTAATGGTTTGGTTAGATGGTAAAAGTTCATAATGAAGAATTCCTTTAAAATTCCTCCAAACACACAACATCACTTTTTTCTTATGCAAGTCAGGTTTTGGCGTGGGCTGCGGAGCCTCATTTTTGTCCAACCATTGAGGCCGCCTTTTCAAATTAACATACAGCACCCATTTTTCATCTCCAGTAACAATTTGCTCTAAAAACGGCAAACGGTTTTGACGAGAGAGGAGCGAACTGCAAATTGTGACTCTTTGATTACGGTTATTGTCGGTCAACTCATGAGGAACCCATTTTCCAAACTTTTGGACTTTGCCAAGTGCACGCAATTGATTGGAAATTGTTTTTTGTGAACAATTTAAAGTTGTCGCAAGCTCTTGTTGGGTAATTTGAGGATTTTGCACCAAAAGAGCTTGAAGAGCTTCTTGATCAAAATTGGACACACGGCCTCGACCACTCTTGTCATCTAACGAAAAATTTCCCTCGCAAAATTTCTCAAACCAACGCTGGCATTTTCTGGCGCTAACTGCATCTTGACCAAGAGCACTACAGATGTTTTTTGCAGCCTCACTTGCTTTTCTTCCTAATTGGAACTCGTAAAGCATGCAGTGCCGACTATGCTCTTCATCCGCCATCTTCTTAGCCCTGGTTTTGCAACAAAAACCAAACCAAACACAAACTTTTTCAAGCAAAACTTGTTAATTGCACTTCACACGTTCTGTAGATACCACGTGTTTGAAGGTTATGTCAATACAAGTCAACGCCAAGCAAGATTTTAAACGAATGTTTAAAAACGACATTGATTATTACTAGACCCCATACACTATTCCTTACCTTCCTCTCATCTTTAGGTGGTGATGATTTAAACTTGTATCTCCAGGAAGGGTGAGGGGAGGAGCTATCCTTTCTTTGCAATCATCTTTAAGCAGTAATGATTTACTTTAGTGATACTGTACCAATGAGTCAGGTTCAAAGAGAGCCCAGTTTAACTTCATTCTCTTGAATTTCTTCATAGCCTTACACCTTGCTTTTATCAAATGTTTTGCTTCCTTTTTCCTTAAAGTCAAAACAGAAACTTTTATAATCATGCACCTTTGACTTTAGTGGCACTTTGCATCTTATGATTAAAGATATATACATCACACAAAACCTGGCTTTATTGTGTCTCTAAGGTTTGTTGCTTTTCTTTTTTATTTTCCCACTCTTCTGGAGAAATCTTTGGAAGACTGTGGAATGTGACTGCTAAGCAGATCTTTTAGCTCTAGATAATAAGCCTCAGGAAATCCTGCCAGATGTCTCAAAGCATTGACTTCCTGGCTCAGGACTAGAATGGAACTGTGGAGTAGCTAGGGGTGGGACCCAGGCCTGGGAGAATTTAGCCACAAAGAGAAGAGGAGAAGAGACTGGGAGTGATTCTACTTGTTTTAATGTGGGGGTGGGGGTTACATTGTCAGAATAAAGTTTCTCAAACTAGTGTTTACCTGAGCTTGTAGTGGCAGTCAACCTGAAAATGATTTGTGGGTTCAGAAGATCAAAGGTAAGGGTTGTTACCTTGTACACCACTTACAGCCTTTAATTGTGTGCTCTAAAATTACGCAAGTTTGTAAGCCACATTTAGGAAGCTGTTCCTCCTGTGTGGTTTTAACCTCTGGTGTTAGCTAAGCTGCAGACATTTCAGTAAATGTTTATCCTCTAAAATTGCCAATCTTGCCTACATTCATTAGTATTTTAAGACCTATGATTTGGGTTTTTATATCTCTAGATCTGCATTGTCCAGTATGGTAGCTACTAACCAAACATGACTATTTAAATAAATTAAAATTAAATAAAATTAAAATGTCAGTTCTCAGTTACAACTACCCACATTTGAAGTACTCTAGCTATATGTGGCTACCATATTGGACAGGACATAAATAGAACATTTCCATCATTGCAGAAAGTTCAGCTGGACAGCGCTGCTCCAGTTATTTTCTTTGCTTCTTTCATCCTAACTCCTCCTTTGGAATCCCCATAAAACATGGAAACTTCACTTGGGTCTTCCCCTAGGGAGAGAAGGCATCAAATTCAGATTTTCCTGACTCAGAGTGTGAGAAATAAGATGTCTGTTATCTCTTTTACTTTGTCCTAAACATTCCAAAAATCAAAGACTTATTAATATGGCTGCCCAGTATTTTGTCCTCAGTGAACAGCATCTATCTTCAGTAATAGACCTGCCTGGATCAAACCTAGCAAAAGAAAATTTTCGTTTATGGAAAACAAAATGTGATATGCAAAGCTATAAAAATTGGTTTTAATTGTGTTTGAAAACTTGGTGTTATGAATTCCCATATATCTTCTGAACGAGCTACTTAAACAATAAGAGAAGCGCTGCCTACTTGAGAATAATAGTGCTCAGATAATCTAATATCATGTTTATCTAATTGCTGTTGAAGGAATGTGTATCATTTTATATCTGACAATAGAAAAAGTTAATGTTTCAGAACAGTATTAAACCAAAGTAAAATGCAGATTGCTATGACAGCCTCTTCCCAAGTATTTCTCAAAATATATTACAGCACTTCTTTTAGCCTATTTACAAGTTCTTTGAATAATGTATCATATTTAAATAATAAATATTTTAATACACAGCATAATCTTGGTTTTCAAATTCCATTTCATATATTTCAAGTTTATAAAATAACTATAATAGAAGCCTGGTGCACAAAATTCGTCCACTAGAGGGGGGAGTCCCTCAGCCCACCCTCACTCCAAACTGCTCGACTCGCTGCTACTTAGTGCTGCTGTGGAGGCAAGAGAGGCTCCTGTCACTGCTGCTGTGTTCCCCAGCCATGAGCCCCGTTTCTGGCTGAGCGGTGCTACTCCTGTGGCAGCGCACTGACCACCCCGAGGCAGCTCCTGCATTGAGCGTCTGCCCCATGGTGGTCAGTGTGCATCATAGCGACCGGTAATTCAGGTTGTTCCGCCCTAATGGTCGCTTAGGCTTTTATTATATATAGTCTTATTGTGTTGTTTTATTTTTTTGTACCCACAACACCTTGAAATGTTTGGTACATGTAGACACTCAATAAATTGTTGGCCCTAGCCAATTTGGCTCAGTGGATAGAGTGTTGGCCTGAGGACTGAGGAGTCCCAGGTTCAATTCCAGTTAAGGGCACATATCTCAGTTGCAGGCTCCCCAGCCCTGGTTGGAGTGAGTGTAGAAGGCAACCAATTGATGTGTCTCTCTCACATCAATGTTTCTTTCTCCTTCTCTCTCTCTCTCTCTCTCTCTCTCTCTCTTTCTCTCTTTCTTTCACCCCTTCCACTCTTAAAATAAATGGGAAAATGTACTCGTGTGAGGATTAACAATAAATAAATAATTGAATAAGTGCATATCTAATAAAATAAGTATATTAGAGAAAAATCTCATGATTCAAGGTAAACTGGATAAAAATATAGATGTTCCTAATTCAGGCCTCTTTCCTGTTGTATGAAAATGCTTTTTTATTATAAAAAAAAAACATTCTAACCTGAATACATGCTGAAAACATGATGTTTGGTTTCTACATATCATGGTCATTTGTCCAAAATTTAACTAGTGTCTGGTCACAAGTTCACCTTCTTTATCTTCTTCTGTAGTTGCTTAATTTCTAGATTTGTCAAATTAAGACAAAAAACTAAAAATAATTGCACTCCACCTTGGGAAATGACTTTCTAAACAAATTTTCCTTGCACTCATAAACTTAATAAAAAATAGTGGCAGAGCTGTCTTCCTCCCAAACTCTGGAATGATAACTGTGCATCTGGAATTCGGGGCTAGTTTCAATGCAGATAAGCTGTTTCGATCTTGATTGGAATCTTCTGAACTCTGGAATCACTGGTGGACTGTTGAGAACACAGGTCAGCAAGTGCAGTAGAAATCATTAGGCACAGCTCAACTAGGGCATGGCCTTTGTTAGCACTGCAGTGACTCCAACAGTTAAAGCATGATATTCCTTGTGTTGTTTTTAATATGTTTTTATACTATTCCCCCTCCCTCAAAATCACTTTCAGTTGTAGTAGAGCACTCACTACAGATTCATCGTCAACATTTGTTTTACGTATCAGTACATTAATGTATATGTTTCACCTTAAATATTTTAGATTTTCATGATAACCCTATGAGGCTGGGTCTTGTTACCTGCATATCCAGATGAAGAAATTAAGGCTGAGAAGGGATATTAAATAACTTGTCAAAAAGAATTGAAGTACTGAAGGAGAGTAAATCCAGATCTTTCAGCATAGTATAATTGCTCAATAAGTAGTAGTTATTGCACAATTTTTAGTGTGTTACCTAATTTAATTTTCAAAACAGCCCAATGAAGATGGTATTTCTATCCCAGTTTTACAGATGAGGAAACCAGAGCACTAAGCAATTAAATTGTTTGCCTACAATTTTATATACAGTTAGTGCAAGAGCTCAGGTTCCAGAGCCCATCTGGCTCCAGAGTTTGTGTTGTTGTTTTTTTGTTTTGTTTTGTTTTTAATCTTTACCCAAGGATATTTTCCCATTGATTTTTAGAAAGAGTCAGAAAGAAAGACCGATGTGAGAGAGACACATTAATTGGTTGCCTTCTGCATGCCCCCGACCAGGGCCGGGAGCCTGCAACCGAGATATGTGCGTGCCCTTGACTGGAATCAAATCCAGGACTCTGCTGTCCGTAGGCTGATGCTCTATTCACTGAGCCAAACCGGCTAGGGTGAGAGCTTGTGCTCTCAACCATACTTTGCTGTTTTACCTCCCACATCCAAGGTTCTTTCTCCTATACCTGCTACTTTTCTAGATATATTGGTGGGGAGAGGGTAAAGGAGCCTTTGGGAGACTGGGTAAAGGGGGGAAGTGGTTTATGGTAGTCTTAGGGAGAAAAAGTAGTAGAGATCTGGAGTAGATTACAATTGTCCAGAGAGGTGGTATGATAGAGCACACAATTGGGAGTCTATGGCTTCCTGTCTCTACCTGTTAACTTTCCTCCTTGTGTGATTTAAATAATATTGTAATACACCATTCCAGGGCTGCCCTGTTGTTGGTTATTGACATTCCTATTCACTCTGCATTTCAGCAGAGCTAGTTCAGTGCAGTCACAAAGCACTGTTGCATTTATTTAAGTTGGGTCTCTTGTCCCTCTTAAATGTCATCACAAGCCATTAACAGTTACTTTTTTGAATACTTTAATTCCCTTTCCCATTTAAACTATTTAGTGTATTCTTGGGTTCAATAAATGTATGTAAACCTCAGAATTAAAATTGAATGAATGACATAGTCAGAGGTCATTAGAAATAATTCTCGAAGTTGACTTTTTAGACAGTGGCCATTTGCAAGACAGTAATACAGGGAGCTCAGTCAATGTTTTCTTTGTTAAATATTTAAGGACTAAACAGAACGCTGCCTAGAATAACAGAGAGTGACTTACGGACTGCTTCTGTCTTGCAGTAGCACTTGTACCATGGGCTTAGTCCTGCCTCTCTGGAGTGACACCCTAATTCATTTGGATGGTGATGGGTAAGTGCTTTCCCTTTTTATCTTCCTACAGAAAGCCAAGGGGTGGGTTCTGTCTTATTACCCATTCATTCAGCTGAATGGGAGGCCCACTGTGCCCAACTGAATTGTCATGTCAGCAGCTCAGTGAGTCCTTTTAAACTCCTGTTTTGTAAAGTGGAGTAAAAACGCAACTTGCCAAGGCCTCTCAATTCTGTTCCTCTAGGCTGACTATGGTAAGAATCCAAACAAAGAGGAACTAGTTTGTTGGCTCCCTCTTTAATCTGCGCATGCGGGAATGTTGCAATGTTTTCCCAGAAGATGATATGTTCTGTTTCAAATAACCTCTTGCTGCCTCTGCCAGCTATCAGCCTACAATATAACCCCTTTTCTGTGCCAGCTCCTTCCAGTGACCTTTCACCCCAGCCCCTGGTGTTTTTAGAATATGTCCCCAAGAAACCAAGATGTTTGCTCCAGTTTATAAAACAGGGTCAAGTTTGCTACATACCCATAAGATTTCCAAATAGAAATATACAGCAGAACAGTTTGTCCTTAGCTACGGCAGGAAAAGTATGTCATTCTCTAACTCCAACGTGGGAGTCCATTCATTCTGCTAAGTACATAAAAGTAGACAATTTGTTGAAGCTTTTCAGTCATGTCCTGTACTCTAATCTACATGGAGTGCCTGAGCCAGTAGCCTGGGAAGCAGCCTTGAAAACTCACAACTGAAATAACCCACTCTCATTTGTGGATTTTTATCTTATTTTTTTTTCCTTAGAGGGTTCAGCGTATCAACAGATAACAGAATTCACATATTCAAACCTGTATCTGTGCAGGCAATGTGGTAAGGAGAATTTTAATATCTATGAAAGTTGTTTAATATGTTAGTAGAGCAGTATGTTGTGAGAAGTATTTGAAATGATACAGTTCTCTTTGAAAATGCCGATCTGTTTGTGTATATAGAATTTTGTGTGATCTGTTTGTGTGGCCATCATAGTTAAAAATGACTTAGAAGTTTAATTTGAAAATTACAATGGAGGCCTTGAACACTGGTAAACAAATAATATTTAGAGGTGTTTTTAGACTCTGAAAGATACTTCATGAATCAGATAGTCAGTTGGAACTGAATTTTATGGGGACACATTGACTAAGTTAGTGGCAATCTAGTGCCAAGTCTAAATATCACACTATTACTATGCATTAGCTTTCAATTTCTTAAGGTAATCAGGGATAGCATTGATGGAGTTACCTTATAAATAGAAAAGCTTCATTTAAATTGCTGGTAATTGTTTGTCAAACTATTTGCATAATGCAAATAAAGCCTTGGAAAAAAATTGTAGTTGATAATAACCATCAGCTGGCATATTGACACTTTTAGCTTACTTACTGATGTCAGGCATTGTGCCTAGTGCTTTACATGGAATACATATAATCATTACATAAGCTCCCCAAAAGAATAGTATTAGTTCCTCATTATGAATGAGAAAACAGGTTTTAGAGAGGTTGTATAACTGGTCTTCAAGTATCTCTTATATTTAAACAAAATAAACTCTTATTCTCTATTTTTCTAGATTATCCAGAAAAATGATCTAACATAACTAAGGAATAATGTCTGTCTCCAGTCAGGATTTTGAATTTTAGGTCCTCATTCAGTTGCCTGTTTTGTAGTGGAAGTCCCCAGGAGGAACAGAATGGACAGAATGAAAGCCAAACAAGAAATAAAGAGCCTGTAAAAGACTCCAGGGAGATCATTTACTCCTGAATAACATGATTGATAGGCTTAGGTGGGCGGGGTCCTAACACAGAGTCAGCTGAACAATTAACCGTCTTATCGTTTCATGGAGTAATTGAAGTAGGACAGAGTTTCAGGTCATTTGTTGAGACCAGATTTTTAGATTTAGGGCATATTTCACAAATAAGTTTCTCATGGAAAACATGATTGCCTTTGACTCGGGCTCAGTTAAAGGCAACTCACCTATGTATTCCCAGAAACCACGTAAAACCAAACAGCAGAAGTCCATAAGTGACAGCGTTTGCAGTTCTATTTTGGGGAGACATACAAAGCAGTCTTAATTTTTAAAACAGTAGTTTCAGCAGTAACCTTAGTTCAAGCCTTGATGTTCTAAAGTACACTGACTAGTCCTAGCTCTGTTAACTTCCTGCAGAATTAAACTTTTTTTGGTGTAACACTTTTTTTGGAGAAGTTAACTGAAAGTCACAGAAAAAAATAAAAGAGATGTGTATATCAAAACAGCATTTAGACCAGGTGTTTCCTATACAGGAAGGCAGTGACTGCACCCTCCTCCCACTGCTGTAGGCAGCTGCAGATTCTGAGATGGCTAAGCTTAATGTATTTTAGGGCCCTTGTGCCTGGCACTTGTGGCATATGCTTTCCTGATGAAGAAAACATGTACTGAGTATCCTGTGCTTTACACTAAGCTGGCTTTACTTTTGAATCTGTGTAATGAAACTGAGAACTGCTTGGTAATTCTCTGAGAATTTGGCTTACTTTGAATAATAGTAAAGCATTTTTAAAGATTCCACAACCTTGTTTTTAAGGAAAAGTCTGTTTTTCTGATAAAAATAGACTGGTTTTTTTTCTTATCAAATTGGTAATGGTATTATTTTTAAATTAACATTATATAGGGTTGACAAGGTCTCATAGAACTGATATTGTTATATATTACTGATGGGAGAATAAACTGGAACAGCCTTTTTGGAAAATGATTTGCCAGTATGCCATATCATTTTGCATGCCCTTTGACCTAGTAATTCTATTTCTAAGACTGTATCCTAAGGTAATAATCATGGGTGTATACAAAAATTTTAACTATAAGAATGTTTATTGGTGTTCTAATAGGAAAAAATAGGAAATAATTTAAATGTCTGAAAAAGAGTAATCAGTTAAATTATGATATGTCCATGTTGCTAAGAATGAAACCATTAAAATGTATCTAGTTGAAGAATATTTAATGATATAGAAAGATGTTGATGATGAAGTGTAAAATAAAAGAACAGGTTAAAATAGTATGCTGAATATGGTCATATTTTTATTGTAGATCTATGCATAGACAAAAAGACTAGGAAAATCTATACTAAAATCTTACCAGTAGTTATTTTTGGGCCATTAGATTACAGTGCCTAAAAAGAATGCCTCGTTCATAATTGGAGCACAGTTAGTATTTGTTGAATGAAATGTTTTATTAGCAATAAATTTCTGTCTTTTACAAGATATTTCTACCTTTTACCTGAGGTTCCTAAATTTTCCCAAGTGAGCATGGATCACTTTTATTATGAGGGAAAAAGAAATTAAAAGACATTTTTAAGAAAAAGATGTATCCTTGGCTGGGTAGCTTAGTTGGTTGGAGCTTCATCCCAATAAGCCAATGTTGTGAGTTCCATCTCCAGTCAGGGCACATACAAGAAGCAACCAATTAATGCATAAATAAGTGGAACAACAAATAGATGTTTTCCTCTCCCTCCCTTCCCTCTGCCTCTTCCTCTCCTTCTCTGTCCTCCCTCCTCCCGCCCCGCCCTTTTCCTTTCTAAAATCAGGTATTGTTTTGTTTTGTTTTTTTGTGTGTGTTTTTTTGTTTGTTTTCTCAGTGTTTTTGTTTTTGTTTTTGTTTTTAATGTAAATGGTTGGCTACAAAATTTTCTCATAATGTTTTTTTTTCCTTTGCAAAGACATTAGTTTATAGCTTAATAAAACACATTTCATTCAACAAGTACTAACTGCTTCAACTATGAACTAGGCATTTTTTAAACACTTGAGATATATCAGTAAACAAAACAGAAAGATCCCTGCTGTTGTGTAACTAACTTTCTAGAATTCCTGGCTTTAGTTTTTCCAAGCATATAACCAAAAAGGTAGTTTTCAGTTTTGTTTACTCTTCTTGGGTTCCTGAGTTCAGAGTCAGAGATTTAATTAGTCTAAGAATAATCAGAGCTGTTCTTAGAAAGTAGCTCAAGTGTATGAATAAATGGTTTCAAGAAATTGGGAGACTAAGGCAGCAAGAATTTTAAACGTCATAAGATCAATGCTGCCTGGACATTCAAGAACCTATCCTTAAAGTTTAGGGACATCTATCTGTGATCTTCATAGTGCTTCCAAAAATAATAGAGAATGTATGCTATAACATGAATCTATGCCGAGGAAAACAAATCTTTCTATACCAAAGGTTGTCATCTTAGTTCTCTGGTGATATAGCATAGACACAGCATGATTGCAACTTGTGGTCATGAGTTTCATAGGTACCTGGACCTGTTTTTTACTGTTGGGTTGTCAATTCTCCTGTTTCCCTTTACCCCCACCTTAATATCACTCTGTATCTTTCTAGTCTAGCACTAACTGTCAGTCAAGTGTTATGAACATAATTACTCCAGATAATTACTATAATCAGAATCAGAGAATCTTGAATTCCAGGGAGTAGAATCTCCAAAGACCAAATTCTATAGGGTTTAAAAATTGGAGGAGATTGAAGTGCACATGGATTATTGGCCTTTTGATACCCCCATAATTCTGCAGTGCTCATTCCCTGCATATCTTTCAGGTCTGCACTCCAGAGTTTACACAAGGCTTGTGAAGTGGCCAGAATGCATAACTACTACCCAGGTAGCCTGTTTCTCACCTGGGTGAGTTATTATGAGAGCCATATCAACTCAGATCAATCATCAGTCAATGAATGGAATGCCATGCAAGATGTACAGTCCCACCGGCCTGACTCTCCAGCTCTCTTCACTGACATGTAAGTCACTTTGCTAAGGATCATGGAAGTCCTGTCTGTTGTGTTCTAGGATGCTGAAAGCCACTGTTCCTCCCCAGTCTCTCCTCGTGGGGAATTAATCTCACCAGCAATATTAGTCGTCGTCTACACCACAAACTGCCACATAAAGAACCCTGTTCTCTCTGTTGTCTGCAAAGGCCTGAGGCATTCCACTCATGGGCACAATGTAGTCTGCATAGAAAAGAACTGCAATATCATAAAATCCCATTAATTCCGATTCCACTAATGTGAAATTTGAGCTTAAAGGAGTTAGCTAAAGTCTGCCTTTGCCTTGTCTGTGAAAGAAACATTTGGTAAATAAATTAATGACAAAGAGAAGCTTTTAAAAGGATGTTTCCAATACTTAAGTTGTTTCTATTCCCCCTGGAGTGGCTCAGTTGGTTGAGTGTCATCCTGTACACTGAAAGGTTGCGGATTCAATCCCTGGTTGGGGCACATACGGAAGGCAACCAATCCATGTTTTTCTCTCACATCAATGTTTCTGTGTCTCTCTCACTCCCTTTCTCTCTCTAAGCATGTCCTTGGGTGAGGATTTAAAAAAAAAAAAAAAAAGTAAAGAAAAGATGTTTCTAGTCAATTAAAAAGAATACTTAGGTTTCATGTTAATTCTAACCTGATATCTGTGCAGATCAGATATTTTTTCAATATTTTATAATTTGTGTTAAGACCTTTGCCTTGTTAACTCTGTCTCACTAAGATTTTATTGAATCTTCCTGGTGTACTGTGAGTTATATAAAGGCCTAAGGTGGAGCTGATGTTTATTTCCTTTTTATGCCTGTGTGTTGAAACTTATGTGACTATTTTAGAAATTTGTTCATACTTAGTTCCTGCTTTGGAAATTAATCAGGATGTTTATTTTGCTCTGAGTTGATCTCTCAACATTTTCAAGGAATTCTATAGCTAGGAGAAAAGAATAGCTACTTACTAACTGATCTTCTAAACCTTTGTCTATAGATTCCTAAAGTAATATAAAAATAGTTCATGATTTATTTTAAAGGCTTATTCAAATAATATAATAAACTAGAGGCCCAGTGCACAAATTTCATGCATGAATAGGGTCCCTAGTGGCAGGCCCTGTCCCCTGGTCAAACTCCCAGTTGAGGGGGCAATTTGCATATTAGGCTTTTATTATAGAGGATTATTTTTACTAGAAAAGGTGAAATTTCCAAGAATTGTGTGAACAAAAGAGTCAGAAAAGCAATGGAAGTTTTTGCAAAGGGTGTTATTGATACTAGGACCTCTTTTTCATTAGCCTTCATCCTTTTAAGATCCCACAGTAACAAAAAAGGTAAGGGTTAGTTTGGCTTTCAGAATCATGGGAAATGTTACTGATTTCCAGCTTTACAGCTGGTTCATGGATATCAGAGGAATGGATGTTGCATCTGGCTCAAAAATGGACATTCTGAATCAGACTTACATGAAAGAGAGAAAACCCTTCTTATTTTTCATGATTTTTTTTAGAGGAATTTGGAAATTAAAATACAAAAGAGGAAAATTAAATTGCCCATAATTTCTCTACATTCCCAAACAAACACACACACACACACACACACACAAAAAAAAAAAATGTGAAATGTACTCCCTGGCACCTGATAGAAGCTCATTAAATATTAGTTCTTAGTGTGTATAATATAGCTCCAGTTTTAAGATAATTTAATAAACAAATATGTATCTGTTCATAAAAAAAAGATTGAAAACGGTCAGTCACCATATTTTAATTACTCTGATAGAAGGATTTTCAGTGATTTTATTTTTTTGCATTTGTATGTATTTTCTGAATTTTTCTCCGGTGAGATTGAGAAAGTGTATTTGTCTTGTAATGATTTTTCCATTTCCTCCCTAAGTTGACCAGAAAAAAATATTGTTTTAAGTATGCTGCAAACACAGGGAGAATGTGTGCTAAATGAACTTAAATGCTCTGTGAATAAACTATATATTTAAAAATCCAAGGAAGGGGAAGAAAGGAACATACCTGAATGGTGCCTCCAGTTTATGTCAAGTGCTATGCCAGGCTCTTCATAAAAGTATCTTATTTAATCTTCATAAGAACCTCATGAAGCACATATTATTACTTTCCTTATTTTATATAAAAGGAAAGAGGCTCAGAGAAAGGAAGGAACTTGTTCAAGTTCACACCACTAGCAGGACTAAAATTAAAACCTAAAACCTACATGTGTCTGCTCCCAAACCACTCTGCCTCAAGCAAGTGTGAAGCAGTTGGATAAAGATTGCTAAACTAGGGAATCTAAACCATGCACAAAGATGCTAAACTTTTTTTTTTTTTTTACCAATATTTCTTTTTAATAGAAGACTGAAATGTGTGACACTCTACCATTAGCTACGTCTAGGAAAAATGGTAGGGAACGTGGTTAAGAATTTTAGTCCTAGTCAAGACAGGAAGACTGAGGGCTGACTAACAGGGTATAATTATTAGCTGTATTCTGTAGGGTTCATGAAAAACTAAAAGCCCCAGTGGTAGGGAGCCCCAAGGTTGTGGGGTCAAAACATCCATCTTTGGAGATTACTAAAGCTATTTTTGCAGCCAGTGATAAGGCTGTAGGCAGCAAGGGTGGGCAGGATGCCTAAAGGCTTAGTCCATTTCCATCTCCAAATAAGGAGGTACAGAGCAGATACCTTTCTTGAGTAGGTAAGAAGGGAAAGATGAGACAGAAAGTATTCTCTGTCAGCCTCCCTCACATTCTGAATAATATGAAATAATGCATTTTGAGAAAAGCATCCAGTTACATTGAACCAATATCTGTCTAATAATTGGAGAATCAGCTTCCTAATTTGATTTCATATTAAAATTCCAAGGGTGCCAAAACCGGTTTGGCTTAATGGATAAAGTGTCGGCTTGGGGACTGAAAGGTCCCAGGTCCGATTCCGGTCAAGGGCATGTACCTTGGTTGCGGGCACATCCCCAGTAGGGGGTGTGCAAGAGGCAGTTGATCGATGACTCTCTCATCGATGTTTCTAACTCTCTATCTCTCTCCCTTCCTCTCTAAACAAAATCAATAAAATATATTAAAAAAAGAATTCCAAGGGTAATTTTATTTTTAAAAGAATCAGAAGACTAAGGGAAGCAACAAAATCCTGCAGGTAGAGTGTTAACTAGGCTGACAGTTCTGGTTCTCTTGCCAGTGTATGTGATCATTGGCATGTCATTTATTCCTCCAGCTTTTTACTTTCTTTATCTCTAAAACCATTTCACAAAGATATTGTGAGAGCTTTTGTGAAAAGGAAAGAATTTTGAATGGAAATATTCCAGGTAGTTAATCCTTGAAACCCATTTTAGAAGAGAATTTGCCTCATTGTAGAAGATAGGAATCACTCTTGCTTCTTTCCTGTTTTCTAAAACCATAGCATTGAATGAATTATCAGCATTAGGTGGCATTTTATGCAACAGAAGACCCAATTCCATAATGGGTCACATCACTGGCCTACCCAGCTCAGCAAGTGGTACTCAGAGGTACTTATGGATTGTGGTCCTTTGTTAAAGTTTATACTCAGTATAGCTTATTTGCCTTTATTTCTTCATGATCTATATATGTGAATATATTTAAGGGCTTTTAGACATGTACAACCTTCAAGTAATAATTTCTACATATTTACATTCTGAAAATAACTTTTTAAAAATATTGCTCTCTTCTGGCCATTAGAAACCTGTTAATTTGGAACCATGATCAAATAGCACATTCATTAACTTAATTAAATTCCTGCCTAAGAAAAATCAATATTTCTCTCTTCTCAGACCAACTGAACGTGAGCGAACAGAAAGACTAATTAAAACCAAATTAAGGGAGATTATGATGCAGAAGGATTTAGAGAATATCACATCCAAAGAGGTAAGAGACCTTAAGTCCTCATTGTTTTTCTTTTCTTTTCTTTTTTTTAATTATTGATTAAGGTATCCCATATTTGTCCTCAACCCCCCATTCCAATCCCCCACCTCTTCCCACTCATGCCTCCACCTCCCTATTGTCCTTGACCACTGATTAGGCTCATATGTGTGCACATAAGTCCTTTGGTTGATCTCTCCCTTTTATCCCCACCCTCCCTTTGAGGTCCAACAGTCTGACCCATGGCTCCTTATCTCTGGGTCTGCTCTTGTTCATCAGTCTATGTTGTTCACCATTCCCCCTAGATGAGTGAGATCATGTCCTACTGGAAATATACTTATAAGAATCAAAACTGAGACAAGCTATAATCGTTATGCTGAAAGGCATATAGTCCTCTTTATTTCAAGGCCAGATAGGAGTGGAATAGGTATAGGGCTAACAATGGTGAGTGAGTAAAAAAACAGAGGGACTTTACAGAAATTAATATAATATGTCATCTTTGTTTCAGATACGAACTGAGTTGGAAATGCAAATGGTTTGCAACCTGAGAGAATTCAAGGAATATATAGATAATGAAATGATAGTGATTCTTGGTCAGATGGACAGTCCTACACAAATATTTGAGCACGTGTTCTTGGTAAGTTTTAGGGCCTGTTTAAGTGGTGTGCCAAAGATAGTCCATACCAACCCATGGGGAAGGGGCAGCTGTTAAATTTTATTATATTTAAATAAAATGTAACATTAAAAACAAAGGTAATAAATACTCAAACCTCATCAGTTTCTAATATTTTTACTATTACCTGTGCTCTTATGTTTATTTATGTCTATTGTGTGGTGGAGATGTTATATAATGGTGAGTTTCTCCTCATCTATTCCCAATTTCTCATTCAGTGATTTCATAAGATTGACTATGGTGGGAAAATTTACACCAAGGAAACTGGCAAATGCTACAGATCAGGCCTTCTTCTCCATCTCCTCTCCCCCCAACGGGTTATTAAATATCTCATCTGTTCTCTTCATAATAGTCAAAGTAAGAAACAGACCAGTCTGTAATAGTTTTCTACAGTGTACCCAACTAGGATGATCCTTTAAGGTCATTCTTTCAAGTCTGCCAAATGTGTCTTAAGGTCGGATATATCTGAGCAGAGCAAGTGAGAGAGGCTATTGGATTTTTAAGCATTTTGAACCTTGAAGCTACATTTTGAGTTCCAAATACTTTTATGATTACTAAAAATTTGGTGATTTAAAATTGTTCTTCATAATTCTTGAACATTCATTGGCTTAATGGATAAAGAGAATTAGCCCAAGAGAACCTCTCTGAGAGATAAATTGAGAAAGCTTCTAAAATCCTAAATGTTAGAGTTCTGGTTTTCATCTGTACGTAGTAGTGGGAACAAGGTTAGCTAGGATAATTAAAATTGGGGGTGGGGGGAATGGAAAGATGCCAAAACCTCTGTGGGGTTTTTGTTTGTTTGTTTTTATGCTCATCCTGGGATATGTTTATTGATTTTTAAAGAGAGAGGAAGGGGGAGAGAGAGAAAGAGAAACATCGATGAGAGAGAGAAACAACATCGCTCAGTTGCCTCCCTTATGTGTCCCGCCTACAGATCAAACCTGCAGTCTAGATAGGTGCTCTGACGGGAATCAAGCCCGAAATCTTTTTGGTGTACAGGATGACACTCCAACCAACTGAGCCACCGGCCAGGGCAAAACCTTGTTTTTGTTTCCATTTCCCACACACTTTGACCAAAAATGCTAACCAGGAACTAAATTCTATTGGTTTGAATTTCACTTCTTTCTCTGGTGAGGACAATTGTGAACTGTGAAATAATTAGAAGCTGGGAAACAGGAGAGAAGAATAAATGCACAGGAACTGACTAAACTGGATCATCTTACCTCGAATATTCAAGTTTATTTCACCCAGCAGTCAAGTCTTGTGCCCTGAATTAACTTATTGACACTCCAGAGCAAGCATGTCAAACTCACAGCATGCCTCGTTTATTTGGCCCATGTTAGATTTTGAGTTTGAATATGAGTACTACGGAGTGACTCATAGTGGTATATAGCTATGAAATTACTCATGAAAAGCTGTAAGCTAGGAAAGGAGCTTCTTTCTATTATTTTAACTTGACCATTGCTATTTCTGGATGTGGATCATACAGCAAAGCTGTCATTGACCTTTTCATTTGTAAAGCATTTGTCTTTGATGTCTTTTGTGTATACTTCCATGAGGATTTTCAGATGTTCCCTGCTCTTATATTGCTGGAAAGAATTTTTGTGTTATCTATAGAAAACTTCTGAGTCACTCATTCAAATGGACCCTGTCCCCATCTGTCATGTATCGTGACATTTTTATGAAGGGCAAGTGCCCATAGCCACAATAGCTCACGTTTGAAAGTGACCAGCATGCCGAAACCGGTTTGGCTCAGTGGTAGAGCGTCAGTCTGCTGACTGAAAGGTCCCAGGTTCGATTCTGGTCAAGGGCATGTACCTTGGTTGCGGGCACATCCCCAGTAGGGGATGTGCAGGAGGCAGCCGATCAATGTTTCTCTCTCATTGATGTTTCCAACTCTCTCTCTCTCCCTTCCTCTCTGTAAAAAATCAATAAAATATTAAAAGAAAGAAAGAAAGAAAAAAGAAAGAAAGAAAATAAAAGAAAGTGACCAGCACTATAAACTTAAATTCTCCATTGAGCTTGGATTTTATACCTAAAAGGATATAGACATGAATATCAAATATAGTCAGACTTACCCATGTCCCTTTAAGAACTACCTTCTTCTTACCGCCCCCTCCTCTTCAAAGGGTATAGATTAGGACATATAAACAAATTTTAATAGTACTTTAAGCAGAAAGAACAGTCCATTTTTGATATGTATCAATGTCTGTATTTTTTGAAAAAGGATGCTATTCTGCTGCAGATACAATTCTGTTTTTAAGAGAATGGACATGTTCTTTCTATTGTGAATATTTTTTTTATTTGAGAAAAATAATTAACTCTTATTCAACAAAATCAGTAGGTGAACAGATTGTCTAAACATCTTATTGTACTTTTTCCCTGATGGCTTTCTTCCTTTGTGTGCACCACCATGTGCTATGTCCAACCCCCTATATCTTCTCCTCCAGTGAGTCTGTGCTCTGCTGGCTTCCCCAGCAATTAACAATGAAAAAAGGTGTCTTTCTGAAACTGGTTTGGCTCAGTGGCTAGAGTGTCAGCCTGTGGAATGAAAGGTCCCGGGTTCGATTCCAGTCAGAGGCATATACCTTGGTTGCGGGTGCATCCCCAGTGGGGGGGGGTGCAAGAGGCAGCTGATCGATGATTCTCTCTCATCGATGTTTCTAACTCTCTATCCCTCTCTCTTCCTTTCTGTAAAATATCAATAAAATATATTTTTTTTAAAAAGAAAAAAGGTGTCTTATCCAAGTTGCAAATGGTGGTGCTAATTTTCTGCAAAATCATTTTATCATGTGCATAGCTGCCATGCCTGGAGTGCAAGTAGTTGTGTGAAGAGAGGCAGCAGGATTTCTCCCCTCCCTTGGAAGAATGTTTAGCTCTGCACTACACAAAGATGTTTATTTGAAAAGGTGTCAAGCTGGTCTGAAGAAGAAACGTGTAGAGCATAGTTTAAAGAAAATCTGCAGCAAGAAGAGAGGATTCATTGGCTGGAAGCCAGACTATTTCCAGAAAAAGTTCTTCCACACCCTTAAGAGTGTACTATTTCTCTGAGCTGGAAGCTTTTGCCCAGCCAAATCTCAACATCAACAGCTCTCCTGGAGGCTGGCCGATTTGGCTGAGAAAAAGCAAGATGTGAACAGAGACCCTTTGCAGAAAGGCAGGCAGCTTTCTTAGTTCAACAAGGGAAACACAGGAGTATTGACGCACAACCAATAATTTTGTTCATGAAAAAAAGTCAGAATTTTACTGCTGGTATATTTTTCAAGATTTGACATTACAATATCCTTGTAGGATAGTGTTTATTTTTCAAAGAAAAATTAAGCCTAAAATTGGCGGTTACTTTTTTACAGCAGGTGTAGAGAAATGGAGGATATGTGAATAAGTCTGACAATAATCAAATTAACTATTTTTATCATATTCATAATTTTCATCCCTCTACTAGAGATATATAGGATAAAATTAAGAGATCTTGTGCCTGGTTGCCACAGTAATGTAACTTACAGAGTTGAGGCTACAGGTGTGATGAAAAAGATATAGCCTGGGATACCAATCCTTAATTATGTCAAGTTGAATTGATTTGAGGAGAACCCCAGCATACATTTTCTTATTTGCCATAAATGTACTCTCCTATTCTTTTTTTGGTTGGAACATTTGTACCCAAACAGGACTATTTCCAGAGGATAACAGTGGGGGGGGGTGGGGGGGGGAGAGATCAGTCACTTGGGTCTTTGGGCCCGAGTACAGTGTAGGGGAACCCAGAGTAATAAGATGGAAGTGAACTTAGTTAAAAATGTATTACAGTCCCAGGATTTCACTTTACATTTCAGGAATATTAGAAAATGCTTTACATAATTACATAGAACATAGTGAAAACCCCCATGGAATTAAGTCATTGTAAGCCTGGGAAGCAGAGAAAAAGAGGTTGAATCTGTGTAAGATCCCAGGAGGCCAATATAAATGGCATTTGCATTGAGGGCAGAAAAGTAATTACACCACATTGACTCCAGTTCTTTCTTTCAGGTTGAACTTGAAGCAGCCATAACCATAGCCCAAGTCACATTGCACAGGCTTCACTGCGACAGTAGCCAGGGCTTTTAGTTTGTTTTATTTCAGGATATGTGTCATTTCAGATTGACAGGTTGAATTTTCTCAAACAGGTAGATAAAAATCATGGACTTTCCCCATCATGTCAGGGTTATTTCCATCTAGCTGGACAGAGTTCCTCTCAGATGATTTAGATTTCTAAATTAAGGAGTTAGGAATCACATTTCCGTGGTTCCAGTTTAGCCACTCAACCCTTGAGTATTACTTGACTTCTTTCTCCTTGAAGTCCTTTGTAGTTCTTGTCTCTTTCTTTGGTGTGAGCGCTGGTTTTCTAAGGTTGAGCTGAAAGCCTTCAGAACCTCCCATATTTTGGGAAAGCAAGTCAGCTGAGCCCTACTCTATAGAAAAGATCAGTTATTCATCACTTACTGGAACCTCGGTACAGTATCCTTGAGATCTTCCAGTTAAATGGCTAAATTACATTTCACTTGTAATATTGTGATACTTGTTTCATTTAATCATTCAACAAACATTTGTTGATCCTCTTTATTGTGCCAGGCATGAGGGTAGATGTTTGTGGAGTGTGATCTAATTCCTTAAGGAAGGAGTGATGATCCATAGCAGATAGATACTCACAGAAGACCAAAGGGATTAGGATACAAAAGTGACCCTTGGGTTAGACAATTAGAAAACTCATTAGTAACATTAGCAACAATGATGAGGGCAGAAGCCATAAAGCGGTGGAAGTGTTAGATTATGTTTCTGTGAAACTTGGCTATGAAGAGAAGGGAGAAAGGACAGTGTGTAGAGGAGGATTTACAATGAAGAGGTTTTCCCATTTTAATATGTGAGAAACTGTTGGCTTATAAAAGGCAGAAATTTATTTCTCACAGTTCTAGAGGCTGAAAGTCTGGCATCAGGGTGCCTGCAGGTTGAGTGAGGGCCCTCTTCCAAGTTTCAGACTTCTCTTTATATTCTCACATGGCAGAAGGAATTGGGAGAAACTATATATTTGTAATCTAAGGAGGAAGGTACTCACTAGATGTACAGAACTATGTTGGGGGGGAGGGTGTGAGAGAGTTCTATTTTATAGATAAGGAAAATGAGGACAGGTTAAGTAGTTTGTCTAATGCCTCACAATAGGAGGGGGTTTCAGACTTGAACCCAAGCCTTCTAATGCTAAATTCTGTTTAACTCAAGTAACTTTAAAGCATAACAGGATTATTATGAAACAATATTCACATGGCCTCAAAGATTGCTTACACCTAAAGATGACTACTTGTAAAGCAAACTCTACAATAGAAGGATGTAGCAGACATAAAGATACTACCAAGAATTCCAAGTCAGCATGATAAATAATGGGACAAAGTGACAGTATGTGCCTCATGATTTGATGTAGTAGGAAGTACAAAACATGACCCTTGTAGTATTCTTGCCAAGAATACTTGACCTGAATCTAGTTATCAGGAAACAATCAGAAAAATCCAGATTGTGGGCAATTTTCCCAAGGTTACAGAACCATAGTCTATTAAAATGTTAATGTCATGAAAGAGAGAATAAAGATAAGAATGGACTGTTCTAAATTAAAGGAGATAGAAATATGGCAACTAAATGCAAGGTATGATTCTTGATTGAGTGAATATAAAATATATTTTGGGGGTTTTTTAATATATGTTTTTATTTATTTCAGAGAGGAAAGGAGAGGGAAAGAGAGATAGAAACATCAATAATGAGAGAGAATCATTGATCAGCTGCTTGATCTGCTGATCCCCAATCATTGATCTGCTTGATCCCCAATAGCGGATCAAGCCCACAACCCAGGCATGTGCCCTGACTGGGAATTGAACTCAACCTCTGAGCTCATGGGTCTACACTCAACCTTTGAGCCACACCCCACAAGGCTAAAGTATATTTTTAAGGACAATTTTTGAAATTCAGATATGTATTGATGTTATCTTTCTTGGTTGTAAAAATGGAATTATGTAAGAGAATGTTTTTGTCCTTAAATGATACATGGTCAAGTATTGAAATGAAGTAATGATGCTCAAATTACTTTTAAATGGTTCATTGGTGGGGGGGGGACAGGACATATATTGAAAGAAAGGGAAGAGGAGAGAGAAAGAAAATGTGTCAAAATATTAAAAATTGATGTATCTTCCAGATAATCTATAGAACCTCCTTAAATTTTGTGTTTCTCCTGTTTTCCTCATTTTTTTTTTTTTACGGAAGCTGCTATTTCCCTTCTCTCTCTCTCTCTCTCTCTCTCTCTCTCTCTCTCTCTCTCTCTCTCTTCTCTCTCTCTCTCTCTCTCTCTCTCTCTCTCTCTCTTCCTTCTCTTCCCCCACCCCAGCCCAACTCCCTACATGAAACATAATGCACTAGAAAGAGTGTGGGCTTTAGACTGAAATCTAGGTTTAATTTATAATGATGCCATTTTGTTCTTTCAATAATGTTTATTGAATCCCTGCCAGGTGTCAGGCAGTATACTGGCGTTTCCATAGGGAACAGAGAAGCTTACATTACAGTGGAAGAGAGGTAGTAAATAAACACATAAATAAATACACAAACAGCAATTGCAATACATGCTTTTGAAAAAGTCAGAGTACTGTAAACAAGAATAACAGACATTTAACTTAGATTGGAGAATGATCAGAGATATCTTTCCATCATTGTGATCTTGAACAGAAATTATTTTAATTCTCTGAGGGTTGGTTTTCTTATCTATAAAAATGAAGGTAACTTTATCATTTGTGAAAACTAAACATGATACCATACAAAGTGCCTGGCACACAGAGAGAAAATTCAGTGATGGTATTGGTGTTCTTTTTATTATAGAAACTGCTTCCTTTCTCACAGGATTCCTGTTTAAATGTTGTATTTGGTTCATGTGCTAGTGCTCCCTAACCCTGTCGTTTTGGTTCCACAGGGCTCCGAATGGAATGCCTCTAACTTAGAGGATTTACAGAACCGAGGGTAAGCATCACTGTTTTATCTTTACCGTTTCCAGTCAAAGAGGTGTCAGTGAGTTACTATGTGCTCTAGAGTTGCTTCCTGTTAATTCTAATCAAGTTCAGTATAATAAGAATTAAAACTGCTATACTCTCACTGTTTCATCCTCCTACCTACCATGAATGATAAACTGTTTCAGTGGTAAGGCTTTCAGAAATAAATGTGTAAGCCTTTCCTGCTGTTTAAAAGCAAATGTAGTTATTAGTTCTTTTAAAAAAAAATTTTTTTTATGTGGTTTTTTTTTTTAGAACAGTTTAAGGTTTCCCAGCAAACTTTAAGGGAAGATACAGAGATTTGCCATATACCCCTGCCCCAACACATACATAGCCTCTCCCATTATTAGTATTCCACCAGAGTGTTGCATTTGTTATAATTGAGGACCCTATATTGAGACATCATAATCACCCCAATCCATAGCGTATGATTCACTCTTGATGGTTGTACATTCTGTGGCTTTGGACAAATGTCTAAAGTATCCATCATTATGGTATTACAGAGTATTTTCCTGCCCTAAAAATCCTCCCACTTCCAACCCCGGTAACCACTGATATTCAAAATTTGCTCTCTCTATAGTTTTACCTTTGGTCCCTATTTTTACGTAAGAATATGCAGAACTGCAAATGTTGGTTTCACAGCTGTCCGTTCAGTGTTTATTGAATATCTTCTGTAGGTCTCTCATAATGCTAGGTGCTAGAGATCCAAAGATAAATAAGCCCTAGCCAGGTGGCTCAGTTGGTTGGAGCAAATGCCCCAAAAAGATTGTGGGGTCAATTCCTGTCAGGGCACTTTCCTAGGTCGCAGGTTCAATTCCCGGTTTAGGGGAGCGTACCAGAGTCAACCGATAGATGTTTCTCAGATCGATGCTTCTCCCCACTCCCCCATCCTCTTTCTAAAAATCACTAAAAGCACATCCTTAGGTGAGGATTTTTTTTTAAGTGTACAAAGATAAATGAGACTTAGTAAGTTACTTGTAGACTGAATAGGTTAAAAATGGATGAGCTTCTGAAATTTAACAAGAAGGATCTACCTTTTACGAGGAAATGTACTCCTAAACGGTATGGTTATTGAATTTTATTGTAGCAATTGAGACCACAGTGAACATTCAGCAAGTAAAATGCTATTGCCATTATTTCCTTTTTATTTCTTAGCTAATGCCTAAGTTTTTTATTGAACTTGGCCTTAGCAGCTCACATCATCCCAACGAGAGAAGAGAAATTCGTGTCTGGAAATTGGCCATGCTAACTCTTCACTGTAGACAGAGATAAGACTCACTGAGACTCACAGAGAGCTTTGGCTGCCCGGCTGGTTACGGGCTGCCTGTTCTCTCAGCTCCAAGTCAGCCTTCTGGTTATCTTTAGCATGATTAAATGCATACTCCCTACTTTTCCCCAGAAGAAAGGTATGTCATAATTGCTAAAATGAGCTTGGAGCAAGATTTAAGCCAAATAATTATAAAAAGAGTTCCATGGGAGGAAATCTGGTTACTTAATTTAAGATATGGAAATAAGTAGAGTTTGGAAAGTTTAAATTGATAAGAATTAAGTCTAGAGTTCTTAAAAGCAGAGACTCTATTTTGTGTAAAACATCTCCCTAGCTTAGAGCTTTATAGGATACTCAGTAAATGTGAAGGAATGATAGAAATATTAGGCTGGTTTATGGGAAAATAGCACCTAGATACAGTGTTTAATATGATATCTGAGTTTTGATATAGCAGTGCTTGGAAATGCATTGGAATCATATAACACATGCATACACTTTGACTTTTGACTTACAACCCCCGCTTGGAGATGAGACCTATTCATCTCATTTACTACTGATAAGGCTAAATTATAAAATGCAGGTTTTAAGACAGTGTGGTTGGATATTTGGATATTAACTTAGATCTACTTAAATTTATTAAACTTTAGTGGGTGAAGAATTACAGTTCAGGGATCTATACCCCAAAACACGTACCTGTGGATAATTTAAGGGATTTTTCAAGTGTAATTTTTACATTAAAGCTATTTTCACTAATCTATTGACTTTAGGGCCCCAAGTAAAAGTTCTACTACCTATTGCTGAAACCGGTTTGGCTCAATGGGTAGAGTGTCGACCTTTGGACTGAAAGGTTCCGGGTTCAATTCTGGTCAGGGGCATGTACCTTGGTTGCGGGCACATCTTCAGTAGAGGGTGTGTAAGAGGCAGCTGATTGATGATTCTCTCACATCAATGTTTCTAACTCTCTATCCCTCTCTCTTCCTCTCTGTAAAAAAAAAAATCAATAAAATATACTTTTTAAAAAAAAGTTCTACTACATATAGAATGGCAAAGAAATTTCAAGGAGTGTCAATTCCAATTGGAAGTAGCTGCCTAAAGCTCTATACTAGAAAGAATCGGGAAGTCCCAATTTACCATAATCCATTACTGAAGTTTGGAATTGGAGGTGGAAGGTTGTTCTTTTTTTTTTTTTTTTAAGTTTTTTTAAAAATATGTTTTTGAGAGAGAGGAAGGCAGATGGATAGAAAGATGGAAACATAGATGAGAGAAAAACATCACGTTGGGGTATTGATCCCTGAACTGTAATTCTTCACCCACTAATTCTTCTCCTGCACTCTCCCTACTGGGGATGGAACCCACAACCCGGGCATTTGCCCCAACCAGGAACTGAACTACGGACCTCTTGGTCCATGGGTTGTCACTCAACCCCTAGGCAACACTGGCCAGGCATGCATTTTTATTTTAAATAAAATAAGTGTGCTTGCTCATTTTTTTTCTGACAGTTTTTTAAACTATGTTTTTATTGATTTTAGAAAGAAAGGAAGGAAGAGGGAGAGATAGGAACATCAGTGATGAGAGGGAATCATTGACCAGCTGCCTCCTGCGCGCCCCTATTGGGGATCGAGCCTGCAACCTAGGCATGTGCCCTGACCAGTAATTGAACTGTGACCTCCTGGTTCATGGGTTGTTGCTCCACCGATGAACCATACTGGCTGGGATTTTTCTGACAGTTTTATTGAGAGATAATACATATACCAAACAGTTCACCCACTGAAAATGTATACTTCTATGGTTTTTAGTACATTCACAGTTGTGCAACAAACAATTTAAAATATTCTCAACCCAAGAAGAAAGCCTATACTCTAGCTGCCTCTATTCTTTTCTTTCCCTTAGCCTCTAGAAACTACTAATCTGGCTCTATAGATTCGCCTATTCTGAATGCTTCATATACTGTAAATGGAATCATACAGTATGTGGTCTTTTAAGAATTTTTTTAACTTAACATATTTCAATATTTATTAATGTTATGGCATGTATTATTAGTACTTCATTCCTTTTTCCTTGTCAAATAATATTCCATAATATTCCACATTTAACTTACCCATTCATCAGTTGATGGACATTTAGATTGTTTCCACTTTTTGGCTGTTTTAAAAACTTAGATGAACAATCATGTACAAACTTTTAGGTGGACTTCTGTTTTCGTATCTCTTGAGTTTCTGCCTAGGAGAGGCATTGCTGGGTCATATGGTAACTCTATGTTTAACCTTTTGGGGAACTATTAGACTTTCCCAAGTTGCACGTGCTTTCTTTCTTTTTTTCTTTTTTTTAATAAATCTTTATTGCTCAGATTATTACAATTGTTTCTTCCCCCCCCCCCCCCATAGCTCCTTTCCACCAGGTTCCTGACCTACCCTCTGCCCTTACCTCCCCCCCCTCGCCATTGTCCTCATCCATAGGTTATACGATTTTAATCCAGTCTCTTTATGCACCCCCACACCCTTTTCCCCCTGATAATTATCAATACACGTGCTTTCTTTTTAAATTAAAAAGAAAAAATCATTTCTGGTAATAAACTTTGATGCCAAATTAACAGATTCAAATCATATCCCAGAACAATTTTGGTCTCCTCACCTAACCGCAGAACTGGTTAGCTAGGGCTCTCCCTTCCTGTAGTCATTTCTCTGACTTCCGAAATGGGTTTGTAGAACCCTCCCTACATGCGGTTCTGAGAAGGAAGCAGCTTCTGCGGAAAAATGAGGGAGCCGGTGCCGTGTTGGTAGAGTAAACTCCAGTGATATCTAAGTTCACACAGCATTGAGAAAAGATAACCCTTTGGCAAACTAAACCCAAGCCTTTATTGAGATTGTGCAGGGAGACAGATAGCAGAAAAATTTCTTGATACAGAAACCCTTTCCTGCAGCCTCTCAGTATAAAACTCTCAGACACATCTGCTGCCATAGCAGCCAGGAATGCAGCCTAGAGAGTTCAGAGAGTTTCAAGTCCAACTTTCCTCTGACCCTCCCAGCTCTGGCCTCATTTGCATTTCATAGTTAGAGAGAGAAAGAGAGAAAAAGCTGACAATCTGGCAGTTAGGAAAATAGGAGGAAATTTCTCCTTTTATTTTTTGTTTGTTTGTTTCTTAAGATACATAATTTAATACAAGTGACTTCCAAAGAATAAATTATATTGCTGGTAATTTTAGTGACTAAAGAGGAATTGTTTATCATGGGCCTCAGGCTGATTCTTTTGAGTAAAATACAAGACATGTTTTCAAAAGACTATCCAAGATGAGATTGTGTAACTACGTAAACTGAAATGGAATTTAGATGTTCCACTTGGTAGACAACTTTTCTCCCAGTAACTCTCTGGTGCCCAGGTGTGCCCAGGACCCTGTTATACCGTTTCTGTACTAAATAAGTATAGCCTCTTCGTTTTGTAGATTTCTTCAATATTTTGGCGTTTAATCTCAGCATAGGGAGTAAAAAAGTTGTAAATAAGGAAAGCAGTGCTGGAAATTGGATTTAGCCTGAGTAGGAGAGCCAATTTCTCCCGTTTTTTTTTTTGCAGGGTGCGGTATATTTTGAATGTCACTCGAGAAATAGATAACTTCTTCCCAGGAGTCTTCGAATATCATAACATTCGGGTATATGATGAAGAGGCAACAGATCTCCTGGCTTACTGGAATGACACTTACAAATTCATCTCTAAAGCAAAGTAAGTAACGGGTCTCCAACACATTCTTACCCTTGTTCCATGTGCACCACACATGGCTGGGGCCTGGAAGCTATAGATAACGTACTGAGAGCACTCCGGAAAAAGGAAGTAAAGAAAAAAAAAAAAGCCCTGGCTGCTGTGGTTCAGCTGGTTGGGTGTTGCCCCATGAACCAAAAGATAGCAGGTTTGATTGCCGGTCAGGGCACATACCTGTTACAGGTTTGATCCCTGGTCATGGTGCAAAAGAGAGGCAACTGATCAGTGTTTCTGTCTCACATCAATATTTCTTTCCTTTCCTCTCTGAAAAATCAATTTTTAAAAAGAAGACTGAGCCCTGGCTGGTTTGGCTCAGTGGCTAGAGCGTGGGCCTGTGGACTGAAGGTTCCCAGGTTTAATTCTGGTCAAGGGCATGTACCTTGGTTGCAAGCATATTCTCAATGCGGGGTGTGAAGGAGGCAGCTGATCAATGTTTCTCTCTCTTCGATGTTTCTCTCTATCCCACTCCCTTCCTCTCTTAAAAAAAATTAATTTAAAAAAATTTTTTTAAAGACTGAGATTTCTTAATCCTCAGGGAAAGATGACTAGTGACTTAATACTTTTCCTGTAAGTAGATGAAATCCCTTAAAGATGATCTCATGTTGGCTAGTTCCATTTGGGCACAAAATTAGAGTATGTAAACTTAAACTGCAGCTAAAGAAATAGAAATGAGAAAAGAGAGAAATTCTGAATGAAATGCTTAAGTTGCCAATGGAGACATTTTAAAGTTGTATAATTAACAATATTCCACACAGATAGAATACTGGGTCCTCCTCTCTATAAACAAGATCTTTGGAAATTTTTTCTCGTTTTTTTTTTTTTTTTTTTACTTTTATGATACTCTAGTCTAAATAGTGAAATTTTTCTCTGAGCTTTTTTTTTTTATTATTGATTTTTTTACAGAGAGGAAGAGAGAGAGATATTTAGAAACATTGATGAGAGAGAATCACCAATCAGCTGCCTCCTGCACACCCCCTACTGGGGATGTGCCCGCAACCAAGGTACATGCCTTTGACCAGAATCGAACCCGGGACCCTTCAGTCCGCAGGCCAACGCTCTATCCACTGAGCCAAACCGGTTTTGGCTCTCTGAGCTTTTCGATGAAGTCTTCCTTAAATTTAAATTTTTAATTGCTCCTTTTAGTGAAGTTACTTAATTATTTTAATTTAGTGTTTAGTATTAATAGGTCAGTGCTCATTTTTTTTTAATATGTCTTACTGATCTTAGAGAGAGGGAAGGGAGAGAGAGAGAAACATTGATGTGTGAGAAAAACATCGATTGGTTGCCTCCCTTACATTCCCTGACCAGGGATCAAAGAAAGCCACAACCTAGGTATGTGCCCTGATGGGGAGTCGAGCCCACAGCTTTTTGGTGTATGGGATGACCAACCGAGCCACCTGGCCAGGCTCACTCATTTGTTTTTTAAGTCCCTGGGGATTTCCTTGCCAATCCTATTTGTGCCTTCAATAGAGGGAGCATAGCATGTTGGCCACGCTTCGTTAGTTGGGATCACATTCAAATCATCCCTGGCAGGGGACAGGCACTTCTGTTTATAAAGTCCTCCTTTAGGAATGATTCTATACTTCTCTTAAGGACTTTCATGATTAAGAGATTCTTCCTTCTAGTTACCTAAATTCCCATACCCTAGCTTTGAGCTCCTTCTCTTAGTCTCTAACCAACACCTAAAAGAGTGCTTTATATTCTTGAAGAACATTTTATATTCTATTATTAAATTACTAGAGGCCCGGTGCACAGATTCATGCACATTGAAAGAAAATTAATTAGAAGGTGGCCGGTGGGGCAGGACTGGGTGAGATGGGCCGGACACACCCTGGAGCCAACCTCCCTCGGTCCCTCCCCGGCCACACCTGGGATAGTGCTGGGGCTCAAAGGGTGTCTGTGGAGTGAGCAGGGTCCCCCCAGCAGGTGTGATCCCTTGGGCTGGCCTGCAGGGATTGGGCCAAAACCAGCAGTCTGACATTCCCCAGGCGGAGTCCCAGAGTGCAAAGGGCACTCTGCAAAGTTGCTGTCCCTTGGCAGCTCCTACGTTGAACATCTGTTCCCTGGAGGTCATTGCACATCATAGCTGCCGGCTGGTCAGCTGGTCACTTAGGCTTTTATATGTATAGATAGAGCTAGACCTGGCCAGCGATCAAAGTGCGAGCATCTGGCATGGAAGGGCATGTCTCCAGCTGACCTCTGGGCCGTGGGCAGCACCTGGGCTCCCAGACCCCCACACTCTCCCCTCCGCCTGAGTCACAGCGCCCGAGTCCCCAGATGGTGAACACAGCCAGACTCTGCAGGCCAGGGCACAGCATGGGCCTCTGGGCCACTCAGCTGTGCTGCATGGAAGCCAAGCAGGTTAGCAGGGGGAGTGAAAGCAAGCTCAGCGGACAACCCACATTCTCACCACACCTCCATCCCCATCATCCCTGCCCCCAGGTAGCCAGCAAGGTCGCAGTCCCCCACCCAGGAGGTTGGTCACCACCACCCATCCCGTTCTTGGTCCCAGTCCAGGGCCCCACCCCCTGCCACTGCCACTGGTTGGCATCTGCAGGGGTGATCGGCAGGGCTATCAGGCCCCCGCTCACATCCACCTTGGCCTGGAGCCGCCTGCTCACCTGCCCCACCATCCTGTCATCCCACTCTTGCTGGGGCCCATTGGGGTCGGCAGTACCTCCACTGCCACCTGCTGCCTATGCCGTGTCACCAATGCCCACCATGCTCTGTGGCCCCCCCCCCCCGTTGGTCAGAGCATGTCATAGCAAGCGGTTGAACTCCCGGTCAAACAATTTGCATATTAGACTTTTATTATATAGGATTCCCAGTAATAATGCCACCCATGGCATACTTACTATGTGCCAGGTACTTTACGTGTATTTCCTCATGTAATATTTTCCAAAACCCAGGGAGGCAGATATTGTCATCCTTCTGAATAGATGTGGACAGAATATAGAGACAAGATTCAGAGAGGTTAAAAAACAAATGGTGAGGATGGCACTTAAACCCAAGATCATATAGGCATAGTCTAGTCCCTTAAGGAAAAGTCTAGGCAAGTTGTCAGGGTCACAACTAAAGAGTAGAGTTCAAGGTGAGGCCCCAGTGCCAGTGAGAAGAAAGGGTGATTTCAGCAGGGCTGCAATTAGAATGAGATGCATGAGGTGCCCAGGTTACATTGAAGCAGGCACTCACTCTCAGGTTCCTGCATCTGAGAGCGAGTGCCTCCTGAGTGACACACTGAGCACCTCATGTGTTTTACCTAATCAGGGCCCTAAATTCCAGAATCTGTATATGGGTGAGCTTAGGGTTTACTACTGTAATACCAGGCTCAATCTGGACAATCCAGCACTGGGTGACGGGGAGTTAAAGGGAGACTTAAATTGAATTAGTTGAAAACTGACATCAGATCCTTTGTTACATGAGTTAGAAGCCATCCACTTTTTGAAAAAGCCTAGTTCAATATGAATAAATGTTTTCATGGAAGTGAATTTTATAATTGCATTTTTCTTAAGATTGTCCAGGTTTGAACACTTGCCATGCCTGCAGGAGTAGACCTGAAATTTTATGCATTAAAGTTGTCAGAGCTTGATGGGAATATATTTGAGCACATGTCTGAACTCCACCTAAGTCACTGCACGTTGGCTTCCCACTGTAGTGTGAAGGAAAACCCTGTGGCACCATAAACAAAACAAGTATTTCCTAGTCCTTTGGGATAATCTAAACACACAAACACACCACACAAGCCTTTGGACACCAACATTTTGCATCTAACTGACAGATAGGAGGTCAATCTTACCTTCCTTTTGAGGTTGTTTCAGTTACTCCAGACTGTTCTCTGCATTCCTATAGCTTATTTGGCTCACTTATTTTGGCACTTAAACTTGTGCCTCCTTGCATTGGTGCTGAACTGTTTCACGTGTCTCCTTCTCCAGCAGGAGAGTTACAAGCCTCCACGAGGAAGCTTATCTACTATAATAGAGTGAGCAAGTGGATGAATAGATTTCCCCTTTTAGGCTGACACGTGCATTCTTAAATTTATTGGAATAGCTACTTGGGAGGAATTCCAGCCCATGACACTAGTGATAAGAGTAATCATTCTTTCCCAGATTTAAAAATGTTGTTTCTACTTATAGCTGACAGATCTAATCAGCAGATCCATAAGTTTGCTCACACATTTAGCAAATATCAGAAGGCTTATTCTGTGCCAGACATTGTGTTATTAGCAGAATTAGCATAACCAAGTAATGCTCATATTTAAGATAAACAAACTCTGGCATGTTAAGACCGAAAGGTTTAGTTTTGTTTGTTTTTTAGTATCACCTTATGGTAACTTTGTTTTCTTGTTTTTCCATCCTATTAAAAAAAAAAGGGGGGGTAGTTATGTATTCCACCCTCCTTGCTGAAAAAGCCACATGATGCATTTATCTCATGGTCCATCCAGCTCCTCAGGTTGTACAGCCAGTCCCTAGACAGAACATGGGTTGTGGTGTTGTGAAAAGTATATCCGGGGCTACGTCTGAGTACGGAGGAGGATTAGTTTCACTGGGTTTGTGCTCTCCTCCAGGGTCAGAACCCTTACTGGAACTTGAACTGGAAGCAATTGAGAACATTTGGGTAAATTAGGTGAATCACTGCCACGCCTGTAACTCAAGAGTGTGCCTGCCCTGGGGCCATGAAGGGACTGGCCTTCAGCCACAGGGGTCCAGTCTCTAAATTGAAAATTCTCCCCTACCATTCTGTGACCAGCTGTCATTTCAATTATCATTTTGAGCTTTGTCTGCTTCTTCCACTGAATTCTACCTTTTTAGGGGAAAAATGTTACTTCGCCTCATAGTACCTCATGCATTGTTTTACACATGGTAAATGTTTGCTGAATGAATTAGAGGCTTACTGTTAACAATGAATATTGTTTGAGTACACTAGAATTGCCTACCCTCCCTGCACATTGATTATAGATGCACACAAGTGCACAAGGTGGGATGGGTTGCATAGCAAGAAAATGGAAGGGCAGGACAGGAAACTTGGAAACATTTCGGACCCGGCTTTGCTCACCATGTGTGTTTTCCTCTTACCTCAAACCCCAAACTAGGAAACATGGATCTAAATGCCTTGTGCACTGCAAAATGGGGGTGAGTCGCTCAGCCTCCACTGTGATTGCCTATGCAATGAAGGAATATGGCTGGAATCTGGACCGAGCCTATGACTATGTGAAGGAAAGACGAACAGTGACTAAGCCCAACCCCAGCTTCATGAGACAACTGGAAGAGTACCAGGGGATCTTGCTGGCAAGGTGGGTCCTTAAGTGTGACTTTCTCAGCTTTTCCATCCCTAGGGAAAGGTGAGATGGCCTTCTCTGTAGCTGGTTCTCAGCCTAACATGGATGTGTCACATGTTCAAAAATTGTATCCCTAGCCAGATTTTTACACAATAAGTATAATATAAGCATTTGAGATTAGCATGGAAGATTAGCATTTAATCAAAACTAACATTATTTTTCGCCCTGTAATTTAAAGGGTGGAAAATACTATTCCCTTATTTCAGTTCTCACCTGGGTGTAGATTCTAACAAACACTTCTCAATATCTTTTTCCCCCTTTTTATTCAGTTTATTGGGGCTGATATTGGTTAACAAAATCACATAGGTTTCAGTGTACAATTCCATAACACATCATCTGTGTATTGTAGTGTGTGTTCATCACCCTACTTGTCTCCTTCCATCACCACTTACCCACCTATATCCTCCTCCATCTCCCACTTCTCAACAATTTCTAATGCCAGATGTGCTCTTATCAAAATGGATACTGATTGCTCCCAAGGTAATTCTAGGCATAGCTGAAATTCTTAGAATTTGTTTGGCCCATTTGTTTAAAAAAAAAAAAAAAAAAAGGAAGAAATAAAAGTGCCTGCTGCTACTTTGGACTTTTTTTTTTTTTTCCCCCAGTACTTGATTTCACTGAGCCCATTCCAGTAATTTTGGTCATGTGACAAAATCAGCAGAATTGGGGGATGGAGATATATATATAGATATATATAGATATATATAGATATAGATATAGATATAGATATAAAACTATTTCTGGGATGCATATATATATGCATCCCAGAAATAGTCCTCTTGGTTTTATATATAAATACATGTTTTTAAATTGATTTTAGAGAGGAAGGAAGAGAGAGAGATAAGATAGAGAGAGAGAGAGAGAGAGAATATGAACATCAGTGATGAGAATCACTGATCAGCTGTCTCCTTCATGTCCCCTACTGAGGATGGAGCCTGCCACCAGAGCATGTGCCCGATGTGGAATTGAACCATGACCTCCGGGTTCCTAGGTTGATGCCCAACCACTGAGCCACTCCAGCTGGACCTATTGGTGTGTTTTTTTTAATGCTCACCTGAGGATGTGCTTTTCATTGATCCTAGAGATAGAGGAAAGGAGAGTGAGAGATTATTAATCACTGTATACAAATAACTAAGTCTATGTATGCCTCATCCTGCATATGCTTTATAAAAATGTAACAACAAAAAAATACAAAGGGAAAATTATAAACTCATACTTACAGAGACAGTTAACATTATCTGACCTTTCGACTAACAACATATACTGAGCACTTACACTGCACTTAACCATCACTTGATCCTTTTTCCCCCAGGTCTATCTTCTATCTATAATAATAAAAGCACAATATGCTAATTAGACCTGGCATTCTTCCAGATGAAGCTGGGATTGCAAGTCATCTGGGGCTGCAAGGGCCGAGCCCCTTGCATAGATTTCGTGTATCAGGCCTCTAGTTGAGATATAATTGACAGTATTGTGTAAATTTAGGCTGTACAGTGTGTTGATTTGATACATTTATACATTGCAAACAGCTTACCACCAAAGCACTAGCTAACATCTCCATCCCTTTACACATTTTTTTTGTGGTAAAAATATTTAATATTTCTCTTAGCAACATTCAAGTATATAATAAAGTATTAGCTGTTATCACCATGCTGTACATTAGATTCTCCAGAACTTGGCAATCTTATAACTGTAAGTTTATATCCTTTGGCCAAGTATCTACCCGTTTTTCCCAACCCCTACACCTGGTAGCCAGCACTCTACTGTCTGTTTCTCTGAGTTCAGCTTTTTAGATTCCACTAATAGGTAACACCATATAGTATTTGTCTTTCTCTGTCCCCAGTACAAGGTCTTGAACATCTTCTTGTACCAGTCAGAACTAGCTGTTCTGTCAGTAAGTTGATAATTGGTTATAAAATGAATGATTTGTTTCACTGCATTATTTATAACCCCTTTGGTGGTGAAGCCACCTTCATCTGCTCTGAGGGAAACGATTCAGGTATTAAGCTGGATTTAATGATCAGCTTCCAGAGATGCCACATGTTGAAGTTCTGTGGAGTGCTAGATTTTGCTTCATTGTTTCCATGTAGGTATGTTCTCAGTGTTTTTGTTAGGGTGAAGGCACTGCTTCCTAGAAGTAAGTCTCATTACTTGGTCTTGACTCTTGAATATGGGCTGATTTTCCCTTGAATAAAATATTACATAGCCTTCCAGCCTATCCAGGCAGAGGGACCACCCTCCCACCCCCAAAGTATTGTGAAAATGTGGTCACAGCACAGCATTATGGTTTCCACTAAAAAAAAAAAAAAAAAACAACCCTCCCATTTACTCAGTACTTGGCATGATCTCATCTGAGCTATTCTCTTAGGAGGCTGGGAGGCTATGAAAGTCTCCTCCACTTAAAGAGAATTTATAGGTCTTTGGGGCCAGATATTGATGACATTTTTAGATTAGATCAGAAGGTAGAACACAGCAGTTCTTTTTGACACAAGAAAGAGGCATCTGAGGGTTGGTTGAGATATAAATATTATATATTCCCAGACACATTATGGATGTTAGGCAGCATCCTCACGTGACCCATTGAGAGGAAGGATACTATGTGTCCTGCCAATTTCAGTATTTATTCTGGAATCCCAGGCTACTGCAAGCTATTTGATGGGTTTTGTTTGTTTGTTTGTTTGTTTGTTTGTTTGTTTTTTAGCATATGTGGTTTTCTTAGGTGTTAAAGAAATTTCAAGAATTTTTTTTAAATATATTTTATTGATTTTTCACAGAGAGGAAGAGAGAGGGATAGAGAGTCAGAAACATCGATGAGAGAGAATCATCAATCAGCTGCCTCTTGCACACCCCCTACTGGGGATATGCCCTCAACCAAGGTACATGCCCTTGACCAGAATCAAACCTGGGACCTTTCAGTCCGCAGGCCGACGTTCTATCCACTGAGCCAAACCGGTCTTGGCGAGAAAATCTTAAATGAGGGTAAGAAGGGCAGCATAGCCATAGCCAGTTTGACTCGGTGGATAGAGCGTCAGCCTGCAGACTGAAAGGTTTCAGGTTTAAATTTGGTCAAGAGCACATGCCCAGGTTGTGGGCTCAATGCCCAATAGGAGGCGTGCAGGAAGCAGCCGATCAATGATTCTCTCTCATCATTGATGTTTCTATCTCTTTTTCTCTCTCCCCTTCTTTCTGAAATCAATAAAAATATATTTTTTTAAAAAAGAAGGGCAGCAGGTGGTACTGGAATTTCCTGTACTGTGATGTCTCCTGGATTTTAAGAACTAGAATCCAGTGCAGAGGAGAATACTCAGGCTGCCTTCATCTGCATGTAATAGAATATATCCATCAATTGAGATCTCAACAAGAAATGCATACTCAGATTAAGATTATTTGATGAGGGTATTATAGAGGGACTACATGACAAAGATGTGGGATTGAAGTGGAATCAAGCATAGCTGATTGGTAATAGCTCTGAGGTCCAAAGATGAAGGGAGCAGTTACTAGAACCTAGAAGGAGACTTCTTCAGAGTAAGGCACCTCAGAGAAGAGCAATCACCTTCAATTAAGAATATAGCCAACTTCCCTGGCTGGTTTGGCTCAGTGGATAGAGCATTGGCCTGCGGACCAAAAGAACTCGGGTTCAATTCCAGTCAGGGACTCTTGCCCAGGTTGCGGGCTCGGTCCCCAGTGGAGGGTGTGCAAGAGGCAGCCAATCGGTGATTCTCTCTCATCATTGATGTTTCTGTCTCTGTCTCTCACTCTCCCTTCCTCTCTGATATCAATGAAAATATATTTTAAAAAGAATAAAATGAAAAGCAATTCAATGTTACAAAAGAATATTACCTTAAAAAAAAAAAAAAAAAACCTGAAACCGGTTTGGCCCAGTGGTAGAGCGTCGGTCTGCGGACTGAAGGGTCCCGGGTTCGATTCCGGTCAAGGGCATGTACGTTGGTTGCGTGCACATCCCCGGTGAGGGGTGGGGGGCGTAGGAGACAGCTGGTGGATGTTTCTCATCGATGTTTCTAGCTTTCTATCCTTCTCCCTTCCTCTCTGTAAAAAATCAATAAAATATAAAAATAAAAAAATAATAAAAAACAATATAGCCAACCTGGAGTAACCCTGCAGAAGGAAACTATGGAAAAAATGGTCTGCCTTCACTCTCCTGTCTCCAATCTTTGCTGAGTGTGTCTATTAGCCCAACCATGTGAAAGTCAGAAGGCAAAGGGGCCTGTTGATGTGATCCAAAGATCGTCCTTGGGGGCAGAGAGTAGGGTGGAAAAGCTGAAGAGCAAACAAAAGATATTTGGTCCAACACCAAGCTATAGGTATTTTTAAAAGCTGGACCATGTGCCATCACTTGTAACAAGAAGCACAGAACTAGACTGTAGTGGCTCAGTGATGTAATCAGAGACTTGGATACTCTTCATCTTTCTTGTCTGCCTGCCGTGGTTAATGGTTTGGTCCTTGAACTTGTCTCCTCATGAATGCCATATGTCTGCCACATGTCTAGACATCTACATGTAAACTCCACAGCATCGGGCTGAATGGGCATTTCAATTTTGTGGGGAGACCTTTCCCAGAACTGCTCCAATAGACTTCTCCGCAGGTCTGATTGGCCAGGACTGGGTCATGTGGTTAAAACTAATCACTGCCAGGAAAATAGAATGTCCTGGGCTGGCTAAAACAAATTCACTTCACGCTCTGGTGCTAGGGAAGTGCTGCATTCCCTGAACCCAGGGGACATTGACTACCCCAACCAAATCAGGCTTCTACCAGTGAGAGAAACAGTGGGAGTGCCTGCTGGGTGAGCAGCCATTAGGGTCTGCACTCTATGATGTGTTGTCAGAAATGGCACTTGCAGGCTACCTGCCAAGCTAACTGCCAAGTGAATTGGGCCCAGCAGATTCTTGCCCAAACCTGGAGTGCTGCTCCAGGAACTGCTTGCTTAGAAAAGCGAAGAAGCCCCAGACTCCTATGATTGTCTGGAGCTCTGGCTAGCTTTACAGCTTAGGTAATCAGGAGAGGACAGTCCTTAGACAAATCTCACTCATTCTATTTGCAAAGAAATTCCATTTCCTACCCAGCGACTTAACTCTTGTGTTTCATGTCTTCTCCCAGAAAGCATGTGGTGGCTTCCCAGAGAGACAGAGCCTTGACTCTAGCACTCTCTAGTCACGCGGTTGTCCAGGGTGGCACTGGGTACTTAACTTGAGGTGGCAGACTCTTTATGAGTCTTTTAGCTTGGTACTTTTACCTCTTGGTTGGTAGAAGAGAAGTGTAGCAAAGTGATTTATGAATTGGTTGCAGTCTCTTAATCAGAATGTGACACTGTGGGCCAAACAGTAATAGCCCCTCTGAAATACAAGAAATTTTTTGCCTATTTCAGTGTGTCTTTAAGAGTCTGGAGAAGGCTAATATTTAATATTCTCCCTTAGACCTAAGGGATATCATAAAGGTACTGATATTATTCATATCTAATTTTATTTTTTATAGTCGGGGAATGAGGCAGGAGGAGGGTGTGTGTGAGTGTGTGTGTGTGTGTGTGTGTGTGTGTGTGTCTGTGTAAATCCTCCATTGAACAGCCAGCAGCCCTGTTGACTCTGATCATGCAGGTATCTGGCAGATTTATGTTCCATTAGACAAGTTCTGATTTCAGGCTTTTGCAAGCTGACCATGTGTCTGTGATATTAGGTTTCAGTGTATAAGGCAAGGAAGAAACTGGGTGGTGGCCAGGGAGAGTTTGTGACATGTCCTCAGAGATGTCAGTTTTGATTCTTTGAACACCGCTGTCTCCATGGCCAGAGGAGGTAGAGTTGTCTTTTAGCCTGGCTTTGCTGGTGGAGACTTTGAAGTCTAGTTAGCTGGTGCCCAGTGGTGAGCCAACAGGAGGGAACCCGAGAATAAGAGGATGTGGCCCTGGTCAGGTGACAGCCAATCACAATCAACGTTTAAAGGATTTTCTTTTTCTTTTAAAGATTTTCTTAATAGCTTTTCAGAAAAGTAATCTTAAAGCACAGCACACAGAGAATGCTCAATTGAAGCTTTTTCTCTTTCTTCTCGTTTCTACAGACTGCCTAATGCCCTAAGAAGTAACCATAAATGGTCTGATTTTACTATAACTGATATTCTATTTTTAGCAATATTTTCCTCTATATCACTTTCTCCAATAGAAGTAGTGCTTTCCCAGACATATAACAATATGGAAGAAAGCAAGTCAAGACAAGAAAATGGGTTATGATGTGCATCCTGTCATTTACATTTCCTTCTTACCCACTTGCTAAAAGGCCAAATTCTTACCCAGGTCAGAAGCCACTCCAGGTGGAAGAGAACTGGAGTTGGTTGCATCATCCAAACCACAAACCAGCTCTGAATTTCTTTTTGGCAACTTGTTTACTTGCTACCTACCTGGAATCAGGTGGGGATGTCAACTGAATTTAAATATTAACAGTTTAGCCGAAACCGGTTTGGCTCAGTGGATAGAGCATCGGCCTGCGACCTGAAAGGTCCTAGGTTTGATTCTAGTCAAGGGCATGCACCTTGGTTGCGGGCACATCCCCAGTAGGGGGTGTGCAAGAGGCAGCTGATCGATGATTCTCTCATCGATGTTTCTAACTCTTTATCCCTCTCCCTTCTTCTCTTTAAAAAATCAATAAAATATATATTTTTAAAAATATATTAACAGTTTAAAATAATAAATATGATCTAATGCCTTCCATATATTCCAACTAGTGAAGGAGCATTAAAATAAACTGGCTTAGAAAAAAAAATAATAAATAAATAAATAAATAAATAAATAAATAAATAAATAAACTGGCTTAGGAAAAAGCTTCACTGGAAAACAGTTTGGTGTTTCTAGGTAAAACCTGACTTATTCATGCCCTGTGACCCACCTTTCTACTCCTATACATAAAACACCTTTGAGAAACCAAAGAATGTGCCAGGCACAGGAATGGCCATAGCAATATTGTTTGTAATAGCCAGAACTGCTCATCAACAGGATGGGTAAATAAATTTCACTCTGAAATTACAGCTACACACATCGATGAATCTTAAAAACAGAGAGTTAGGCAACAAAACACTTGTAGAATACATACAGTATTTCATTTATATAAACTTCAAAACATGCCAACCTGAGCAGTATATTATTAAGAACAAAACGTGGTGACTCTAAGAAAAAGAAATGAAAGGCAATGATAAACACACAATTTAGGACAGAGGTTAGTAACCCCTGAGGGGGCAGGGAGTGGAGGGAAGGATCAGGAAGGGCCCATGGAGCAGCAGTGTTTCAAAGGCCCTGGCAGTGAGTATCTTGACCATACCAGAGAGCTGCCTACCACTCTCCATGCAGGTCCTATTGCAAAATAAAAAAGGTGGCAGAATCAGACCTATCTTCAGACTGGGGTTTTCCTTTCTCCTTTACAAGTAGGTGTTAATGTAATTCCAGAGCCCTGACCCAATATTTTCTGGTGATTTTCTCCTCCAGGAAGAGAAAGAAATCCTGCTGGGCCAATGATGCCAGCCAGTTCCTCTGCAGCATGCACTGTGTGTGCCTATTAGCATAACTTCAGTATCTCATTCCCTCCTGATTGTTTCAGGATTTGCAGGCAACTTTAAAAATCATACGTATTGGGTTATTGAGGTCATGAAAACATCCCATTTGCCTGTTGACTGACAAGATGTTCTTTCACATGATTAGAAGGGTGAGAGCAAGTCCCTGAGATGACTTCCTAGTCATTTGCATGATGGGAATTGTCCTGCCACGGTGGCTAAGAGGAATCGGTGCAGGTTTGAACATGCTTATATAGGTGAGGGCTGGAAATTGAAGAACATAGTCATATTTAGATCAGAAAACAAGGGTGTCTATATATGAAAGAAGAAACTTGAAAGGGAAGCACCTTGGGCTGGGTTGATCACAGTGCTTAGGCCTCATCTATCTAACCAGTCAGCTTGCCACTCACTCGTTGGGATGTGTGATGTGTTGTCTCCTCCTAGGGGTGGCTGAGTTCTTGCATCTTGGAAAGAATGAAAACCCTGCTTTACACCCAACTAATTGATATTATAATAGCTTGCCTTCATAAACAGATTGACCTACTCAGAAAAGCATCCTTTTGCTGTGCAGGCCTGAGTCAGAAAGATCCCCACCCAAGCAGCAGACAGGCACGGGGAGCTGAGAGCAGGTGCAGACTTGAGAACAAACAGGGGTTCACATTAGTGCAGGCACATGACTCAGCAGAGATTTACAGGCCTCTGAGGCAGGCGTGGCCCTGAGCCCAGGATAAGTTGTTTTGGGCTGTTGCCCATTTTACCCTGCGGTTAGGGCACTCTTCATCAACTTGTAAGTCATGGAAACCATCCCTCATAAGCCATTTAGTGACCTATTCCCTGGGCAGGCGTTCCTGACCAGCCACAGGGCCACCTTTCTCCTTCTGGCTAGAGCTTTGAGAACTGTGCTTCTTTGTTCAAGAGTGTGGTTTGAAATGAAATATCTTTCCCACGTCAGGCCTTCCCTCCATAAAATAAACCAAAGGATGGATGGATGTGTGTGGTCTTCCTTTGGCCCATCTGCTTTTCCAGGTGTCGCCTTAGCCTGATGGTTTTTATCCAATACTTATGAAAGGGGCTGTGCTTTCTGCTAATTGTCTTCCATTCTGTTACCAACCTTTTTGCCAGGCTTACTAGCCTCATCTTTGTTTTCTAATTCAAGAAAGATTACCACCCTCCTCACACTTTCATGTCAGAGATTAATCCCAGTTATGAGGATTTGTAATGAGCTTCCATAAACTGTTTCACCTTGTATTACTCAAATGCTGTTTTGTTCTAGGTTTGTGAAGTTTTTGTTTTTTGTTTTTTTCCTGATCATTAATGAATGTTAAACATGCTCATTATTTTAGAATTTTAAAAATTATAGAAATACAGAGTATAGAAAGCAAAGCCCTCCTCGGAAGTATTTTTGCCTTCCCGTAAAAGAACTGTTACCAGTTTAGAGATGTTCCTCCAGATATTTTCCTATACTTATTTTTACATGGGAACTGACCATTCCAACTGTGTTCAGCATGCTTTTTCGCTTAATAGTATACCTTGGACATCATTTCACTAAAATACCTGACTTTTTTTCTTTTTTTTTTTTACCAGCCTCATAGCATAGAGGTATATGGACTATAATTTAAATGCACTTCTTTTTTTTTTTAAATATATTTTATTGATTTTGTACAGAGAGGAAGGAAGAGAGATAGAGAGATAGAAACATCAATGAGAGAGAGTCATCGATCAGCTGCCTCTTGCACACCCTCTACTGGGGGTGTGCCCGCAACCAAGGTACATGCCCTTGACCGGAATCGAACCCGGGACCCTTCAGTCCCCAAGCCGACGCTCTATCCATTGAGCCAAACCGGTCTCGGCATATGGACTATAATTTAAATAAATCTTTTTTAGGAGTCAAATGTTTTAGAACCATATCGTTACAGTGAGCATCCTTTTAATATATCTCTATGCACTTATACTAGTAGTATTCCAAGAAAAATTCTTGAAGGAGAAATTGCTGGTTAAAGAGTTAAATTTTGTGAGTTATTACCAGAGAGTTCAATCTTGAAAAATACATTCCTCCCAATAGTGGTATATGAGAGGGCTTGCTTGGCCATACTATCAATAACACTAGTTGCTAGCAACCATGTTAGCTCTTGTCAGTCTCATAGGTTAAAAAATCAGATCTCATTTATTTGTTTTTGTTATTTTTTGCTTTGCTTTTGTTTTTGCTGTTAGTTAAATTGAGCACATGTTTATTGCCTTCCATTGGGCATTAACAAAGCATTTTGCAGGTTGCGATGTAAGCTTATCTGGGAGCGATTTCCGGGGAGGGTGCTGATTGTTCTCACAGACCAGACTAACGTGTTTCCTGTGTGCGCACTCCACAGCAAACAGCGGCATAACAAGCTCTGGAGATCTCATTCAGATAGCGACCTCTCAGACCACCATGAACCCATCTGTAAGCCAGGGCTAGAACTCAACAAGAAAGAGATCACCACCTCAGCAGACCAGATTGCCGAAGTGAAGACCATGGAAGGTCACCCATCCATACCTCCTGTCTTTGTGGAACATGTCCCACAAGATGAAAATCAGAAAGGCCTGCGTACCAAAGAAAGAGTGATTTGCTTGGAGTTTACTTCTAGGGAATTTCATGCCGGACAGATTGAAGATGAATTAAACCTAAATGACATCAATGGATGTACATCAGGGTGTTGTCTCAATGAATCAAAATTCCCTCTTGACAACTGCCATGCATCTAAAGCCTTAATCCAACCTGGACAGGCCCCAGAAATGCCCAACCAGTTCTCAGACTTCACAGTGGAAGATCTGGAGACAGATGCACTGAAAGCAGACATGAACGTCCATTTACTGCCAATGGAAGAATTGACATCTCGCCTGAAAGACCTTCCCATGTCCCCTGACCCTGAGTCACCCAGCCCCCAGCCCAGCTGCCAGGCTGACGTCTCAGATTTCAGTACAGATCGTATTGATTTTTTTAGTGCTCTGGAGAAGTTTGTAGAGCTTTCTCAAGAAACACGGTCACGATCTTTTTCCCACTCAAGGATGGAGGAACTGGGTGGAGGAAGGAGTGAAAGCTGTCGACTGTCAGTGGTAGAAATAGCCCCTTCTGAAGTGACAGCTGAGGACCAGAGAAGCAGCTCCTTGAGTAACACTCCCCATGCATCTGAAGAATCTTCAATAGATGAGGAACAGTCAAAGGTAAAAGCTCTCTTTATAGTTCTCCACCTAAGACGTTCTCTTCTAAGGCAAAATGTTTGGGATTCTGCTATGTTCACCTTCTTTTTAATGTGGTTAGATTTAGGAAGGCAGTTTGGGAGAGAAAGTCTGGCTGAGACTTTCCTTAAAAACAGGGTTTAAATATTTTTTTAATCAGTTGCTTTTTGAAGAATTTATCTTTTCAGGTTTTTTGGTGTCATTGGAAGCCATTTCTAAGAGGGGATGAGGGAAGAAGGGAGTAACAAAAAAAAATTTTTTTCTTGGCTGAACCAAGAGCGGTCCCCTCCTGGATCTCTGCAAGTTCAAATCAAATCTTACCAGTAATGAAGTGCCAGGGACTCATATGCTGCCTGAGTGAGACTTGTGTCTCTGAAAAAATGGGTTTGTTTGGAAAAATTCTTTCTGTCTCAGAAAATTCCCAGACTAGACATGTGTAAATAGTTGTTGGAGTAGCACCTAAATCCCATGCTGAGTTCTTGCTATTAATAATGTTTCTGAGTTGTTCCTCAACTCAGACCCTGTGGTAGTCAGGAGTTGAGGATGGTTTGTGGAAGTGATTTGAGAGCAGACAGAATTCCAAGATTCTTCTCAGTGGCATATGAGCTCTTGAGAACCGTTGCAGACGAGGAAAAGAATTACTGTATGTCACTATTTGTAAGGCTCACACTTATTCTCATTTTGATACTAGGGGTACATTTTAATCCATACAATACAGTAGTTGTATGGATTATAAATGGTGACAAATTTACTCTGACATACCAAACCTCACCTGATGAATTCAGTGGAGCTGACATCTCCTGATGTTTGTCTACTTATAGTTACCACCTTGTCCATTATTCAGCTGTTCTCTCTCTTTTTAATCACACAAGGGTAGTTGTTGTCTTCTCCTCTTCCCAAAATCTATCTCTCTGTTTTGGGTCTACTAGGAAATCTGAATGCTTGCGCTCTCCTTTGAACCAATGGGTGTAGCAGCTCTGACAGAAATAGCTTTTTTGTAAAGTCCCTGGTCATATGAGCATTCCCTCCACAGCCCATGTACACAGCGGCCCGCTGTGGCTTCGCTCCCAGGCTTGGCAAGTTTGCCTCCGCCTGATGTCCCGGCAGATTTCTCCCAAAGGCATAACTGACCTTGTTAGTTTGTACTAGCTCTGACTCTCTTTTGAAGGGGAAAGACCAGAACAATTACTAGGAAAACATTGTACTTTGAAGGCTTATAAAAATGTTCAAGTAAATTGCCGAGACCGGTTTGGCTCAATGGATAGAGCGTCGGCTTGGGGACTGAAAGGTCCCGGGTTCGATTCCGGTCAAGGGCATGTACCTTGGTTGCGGGCATATCCCCAGTAGGGGGTGTGCAAGAGGCAGCTGATCGATGACTCTCTCTCATCGATGTTTCTAACTCTCTATCTCTCTCCCTTCCTCTCTGTACAAAAATCAATAAAATATATTTAAAAAAAAAAAAAAAAAATGTTCAAGTAAATTGATGGTAATAATGATGTCACTTTAAGAAGTATCCAGGGACCATTTCCAGATTTTTAATTTTTTTTTTTTTTTTTTACAAAAGGTCTTGATTTTGCATTGGCCATTTTTCTTGGGTCTTGTTCTAAATGCAACTGGAAATTCATAACTGGTAGAACAATAAAATGCCAGCGAGTCACGGTTTCTTAGTTTTCTCAGGCACGTGGCTGCATAAGCCAAGCAAACATTTCCCAGGAGGAGCCATGTGAAACTTAGGAATTGTGTGATCAGACACATAGTGCCCTCATGTGCTGGGCTGCTGCTGCTAGAAGTGGGAGGACGTGGATGAAAACTGGCAACGCAGAAGAGAGAAGAGCAGTGAGTCTCCAAATCAGACATCAGATGATAGCCTCAACCTTGCCTTGTCTAACACTGGGCAATTTTAAGGTGGGCACTGAGCCCTTGAATGAAACACTTCCCCTCGAACGAGGGAAAGGCTCTGACTGGAAGTTGATATAGGCCAGAGAGGAAAGATTTCATTTCCCCAACCTGACCTAAGTTCTGAAGGCTCGAGGTCTTAGGAAAATTAGAACCCTCCAACACTATTTGCTGTTCATTTTTGGAGCAAGATATTAGATTGGCATTCTGTTTGAGTAAACAGAACAGAAAGTTCAGTAGACAGTGATACAACCTGTAACTAATTTGGTATCTCTGCCTTTGATTAATCTGTTTTTCTCTTGTACAACGAAACAGATGGTCAGAGTACAGTTCTCGGCAGAGGACAGTCCCAGGCATTCCACAATTTGTGTCCTCATAGCCAGAAGGTTCTCCTGGATCCAAGGATTTAGTAATCAGAAAATCTGGCATTTTCCATTAGACTACAATTCGCCATAACCATCTCACTATGTTTTCTTCTTAGGCAATTTCAGAACTGGTCAGCCCAGACATTTTCATGCAATCTCACTCAGAAAACGCAATTTCAGTCAAAGAAATTATAACTGAGATTGAATCTATCAGTCAAGGAATTGGACAGATTCAACTAAAAGGAGACATTTTATCCAACCCATGCCATACACCAAAGAAGAACACCATCCATGAGATGCCCCTTGAGAGGGCCCAGGCCCCGGACAACAAACCTGGGAATCTGGAGCCGAATGAGGTTTCCTGCTCAGCCCAGCCTGAACTAGCCAAAGACTCAGGGAAGTGGGACCCAGAAGGCTGCCTAACTGTACCCTCATCCGCCACAGACTTGGAAGAAGAGGAACCAGCTGAGGGGGAACAAGAGCTCTGGGGCCCAGGGGCACACCCAGGTGCCAAGTGGTACCCTGGCTCTGTAAGACGAGCCACCTTAGAGTTTGAGGAGCGCTTGCGGCAGGAGCAAGAGCACCATGGTGCCACTCCTGCTTGTACCTCACTGTCCACTCGCAAGAATTCCAAGAATGATTCCTCTGTGGCAGACCCGGCATTGAAAGGGAAGAGTGAGGAAGCCACCCTAGAACATCCGTTTGTCCCCAGGGAACCAGAGATGAGCAAGAACAAAGGGAAACCCAGCGGATCTGAGGCCGGCTCCCTACTGCCTTGTGAGCAAGGTGTCACTGTTCCAGCACCCAAGCCGCTGGATTTCCGCCCCTCGCAGGCTCCTCACGAGTGCCCGGAGTCAGAGCCTAGAACCAAACGGCAAGGAGTCCTGAAGGAGCAGAGGACTGTGGTTTCATGCCAGGAATCTGAAACACAGGGAGTCCCTTTTCCCAAGAAGATAGAAATCATTGAGTACACCCACGCAGTCACATCCCCCAATCACACTGGGCCAGGGGGCGAAGTAGCCACCAGTGACGAGAGTGGGGAGCCAGGCCTGAGGAAAATGAAAGTGGAGAAGTCCATCACTGTGCTCTGTGCACTGGATGAAAATCTGAACAGGACGCTGGGCCCCGAGCAGGTTTCCCTCCACCCCAAAGTGCTACCTCTGTCGCCTCCTTCCTCTCCTGAGCACAGCAGGCCCACCGACCCGCCCTCCACTCCGAGCAGCCCGGAGGATGGGGGCAACAGCCCCGCAACAGCCCTGGACACAGCAGCGCCTTTTGTTAGCCACACCACCCACTTACCATCTGCCAACTTGGATTATCTGCACCCCCAGACCGTGGTTCACCTGGAAGGCTTCACAGAGCAGAGCAGCACCACAGACAGTGAGCCCTGTGCAGAGCCAGGGCGCTGGGAAGAAAGTCAAGAAGGCCCCCTGTTCAGTGGCAATGAAGTGTCACATAAGGGCTCCCAGTTAACTAGTGAAGACTTAAGTTTAATCAGCACATTTAGTGACAGCATTGGGAAGTTACAAGAAAAACTGGACCCATCACCTGTAGCTCGTAAACTCCCTCATAGCTCCAGTAGCGACAACATAAAGGATCTCAGCCACAACTCCCGTGTGGTGAAGACGCACGCTAAAGAAACTGAGTCCCAAGTGATTTGCCAGATAGGACTCACCAAACCGTCCCAAATGAGGCGTTCAGCTTCCCTCACCAAGTTAGGTTACTTGGACCTGTGTAAAGACTGTTTACTGGAAAGGGAGCCTGTCTCCTCTGAGTCCCTTCATCTCAAACTTCTTCAGCCCTTCCTCAGAACAGACTCAGGCATGCATGCCATGGAGGCCTGGGAACCCCCTGGAAACTCAGATGCCCCCCAGAACCCAGAGCCCACCAAGTATTTTATAGAGCAACTTAAAACAACAGAGTGTATCGTGCAGAGCAAGCCAGTGGAGAGGCCCCTTGTACAGTATGCCAAAGAGTTTGGTTGCAGTCAGCAGTGTTTGCTCCCCAAGGCAGGACCTGAATGGACTAGTTCTGAAGGAGGCCCTCCTTTGCTGCAGACCCCGGGGCTGCAGCGCGCAGGCCCAGCTCCCCGTCAGCAGCACCACAGAACTCACCCCCTTAGGAGACTGAAAAAAGCAAGTGATAAAAAACGGACAACCAACCCTTTCTATAATACCATGTGATTCTGAGCCTACAATGTGACTTTCTAAAAGAAATGTTTGTAAAAGGGGCAGGTGTAATATGTAAGGAACATGCACTTTATCGGTTAATTTTATAACATTTTGGTCATTTTACTGTTCCTGGCACATGCAGAGTCTGGGGTTTTCTCCCTCTGTGTATGTGTGAGAGAGGGATTGATTTGGACATCAAGACCATTTTTATTTTTAGAAAATTCAAACCTCAAAATATACTCATTTTCAAAGAACACCTTTATCAAAGGCAAATTGCTGTTTTTCAATCAACTGCCACCTTCTCCTCGTTTTGCCCTCTGAGAAAAGGCATGCATGCTTGATTGAGGATGGAAGCAGATGGGGAAGGTGGGGGTGAAGCCGGAAATTGAAAATGCTGCCCCTGGGCCAGCGTGAGAAGGGTTTGTTCTCTGGGCCTGATGCTTCAGGCGGGCTGAAGGGCAGCGGAGCGTCAGGGGACATCAGCATGCTCTCTCAGCCCGTCCCCAGCCCCAGCCCCAGCCCTGTGGAGTTTCTGAAGTGGGCAGGTTCTGCTGTTTTCAAAGGGGGTCTTGCAGAATCCATTCTTCTGGTGTTCCAGAGTGGATCATTACAGAAAGGCATCATAATGGCTGGTGTTATAAACTTGTTAGTAAATCAGTTCGTTTTTTTTTACTAAAAGTCAACCCCAACTGAAATCCAAGAGGTCCCTCTGTTGAGAAAAGCATAAGAAGGAGGTGAAATGGGAAACTGAGACACAACAGGGACAAGTTTGAAAAATAGCAATTGAAAGTCAATGTGTTCTTATAAAATGAATACATGCATAGGGTTTTAACCCTTCCATTACTTGAATAATTCTGTGGGCCTCTGAGTTTAATGGCCATATTTTTTCCAATTTATTTTCCTCCCTCATGCTGTTTCTCCCAGTGCTGCCTGGTTTTTTTATTTTATAGATGACATTTGAATTGTTACATTACTTTTGTATAACCTCAATTGAATGCAAAGTTTTCTTTTTGATATTATCGCTGTTAACACTTGACATAAGGTTTTTCCCCCCCTTTTCCTGGAAGATTTGTCATTTCTCTAGTTTTTACAGTATTTATGTACATAATGTCACATTCTTACAGTGTTTTATTGTTGATGTCAGAGGGTCTTTTTGATTTATTTTTTTTTAAGGAGTTATACTGCAACTGGAAAAAGACAACAGAAATAAAACTGATGAGTATTGTAGGAATCTGTAGAGTATATTGACAGTTGTTTTATTGTTTAAATGGAGACTCCGAATTGCCAGCTCCTGCCAAATTATGCATTAGTAATAATAACTTCCTCCACAGAGCAACTCCTAAAAGCTCCCTTTAGATCACAGTTTGACTGATGGCTGCGTCCTCACCTGAAATCCCAGAAAGTTGTTTGCCTTCACTGAACCACAGCCCGGCCGTGTACGGGAGTGCTAACTGCTTCCCAGAGTGGAAGCTCCTCATGGATTAGGCTAAGGCTGCGGGGTGGCATCAGCCAAGGGCAGGCATCCTTACAGATTCCATTTAGGATGCTTTTGCTTTGCTGCTACTACGGGATCCTTAAGACAGCAGCACCTGCCATAAACAAGCCTATTTCAGCTTCTTACAGAAAACATATGTAGACTGGAATGAAGGACGCTCATCAGAACTGAAGAGGTTTGCAAATTTGATTCCTATTTGCTTTGGTCGATGTCCACATTGTTGAGAGACTGACCAAGTACAGGCTTGAGTTTTAGATTTTTGCTTCATCGCAACACTGAGAGGAAAAGGCAGATGCACAGACTGTAAAAGTGATGTCAGAGGCCAATGATTGGTGGGGTATGTAATGGGATGACTCAGGAGAGAGAAAAGTAGACTGAGGCCACTCATATGTGCTTGAGAAGCTGTGAATTCAGTTGCCATGTGGAAGCTGTAGTTGCATCTGACATCACTGCCAGGAGGCATATTGGACAGATACCTATATGTGTAGAAACCTGCTTTATGGTGTAGTAATTATATATACCTGTGCTTTCCCTAAATAGTTTCCTTAAATATCAAATGTGTCATTCACACAGCTTTGTGGTTCCTGGATATGGAATGTGCTGTAAAGTGTTTTGTTGGCTGGTATATACCAGTGTGAGGAGCTCATCTATCTAAGCTGCCCTGTCTTATTGAGGCAACTCTGGTGGGGAAAGGACAGGACATTCTGTCTGGGCTGGAAGAGGAGGATTTGCCTGGAGGTTAAGGGAGTGGAGTCCATTCATGTTAATCCCTTGAGATGGTGACATCCTTGTGTTAAGAGTGCAGCAGGATAGACAACTGTACTGTTCTCTCTTCTCCCTCCTGTGTTTGATGCTCAATCTCACTGCATTAAATAACAACAAAGATGGGAGTGAATCTTCTAATGCTGTGAAGAAAAACAGAAACCTTTTTTTAAAGAATAGAGCAGCAATTTTGAACCTTTTTCATCTCATGACACACATAAGCAAATTACTAAAATTCTGCAGCTCACCAAAAAATGTAGTTTTTGCCAATCTGACAAAAAAAATAGATATAATTTTGATTGATTTTTAAAAATAGTAATTACCTATCCTTTTTTGCTCCTAAGTGACTTTTAAAAATCAGGTGCCTATACTTGTATATAAGGATTTCTGGTACCAAGAATTAACACAATCTTATTATGCGACGTGACCAATAAGATGCAACTAAGTCTTTTACATGACCTGTATATTTATGGTTCAAGACAGGCATTCATACCCCATAGCTATTGTTGTATTGGCTGTTATCATGTTTTTCTGTGGATTGTTTTTTTTTTGTTTCGTTTTGTTTTGTTGTGTGTGTGTTTTTTTTGTTTTTTTTTTTTTTTTTTTTTTTGACAATCCAAGGGAAAAGAGGTCAGTGCCCCTGACTAAATAGGTATTACAGGTTTTAAAAATTCTTGCCACACACTGGTTGAAGATCACTGGATTAAAGGAAACATGCCTGCTCACCTTCCATTTTTAAAAATATTTTTTATCATTCAGTTTATCTGCCTAAATAAACGTCTTCTGCACAGGGTCTCTAATTCGGCCAATGCCAAGGGGATTTGCAAGTCCACTCAGACTCTGACTCAGCTGAGCGTTCTTACGGTATTTACATGACTGAGTGAAGTCTAGGGAAAGAACATGATGAGCTATCAAGGACTTTTCAGACACTCTTTTCTCCAAACTTTTGATAATCTCGGGTGGCCTATTTCTACTTCCTGTTCATGGAAAACCCAGCCCTGGGACAGCAGGTCTGGTAAATTGACAGAAATGAGTAGGAAAGGCCTTGACCTCTTACTCAGTGCCTGTGTGTGTGTGTGTGTGTGTGTGTGTGTGTGTGTGTGTGTGTGTATAAAAAGTAGCATTTTGGTGCATGGGGTAAAAGCCCCAGGAGCACACAGGTTTTGAGCTGTAATCTGGATTGTTACCTGGTCAGTAGGAAGGAGAGAAACCCCTACCCCTTTATAATTCTAGAAGCACTTAGTGTATATATAATAGACATGTAGCACTGTAGTAGAGTAATATTCATCTCTCCTCATTTTGGTTGCCTTTCAGATTCTGAATGTTTGGGATCATTCCTAGCATCTCAGCCTCTTCCAACTCTCTCTCTAGCGTTATCCTGGTTCTATACCTTTCTCCCTACCGTGTCTCCTCTCTCTCATCTTGGGAATTACCAAGAGCTCCGAGGACAGCCTGAGGAGGACAGCCTAGGTTCTGAGGTCCCCTCCTGAGAAAGGGCCGCAGACAGATGCTGTTGGATAGACCCGAAGCTTCTGAGACGTGGCAGCTCACAGAAATCGCCTGTTCCTTCTGAGGATTCAGTTCTGAAGTGATGTAGGCATGTTTGGTAAAGATGTTTTGTGGGAGTGGTTTGTGGGATTTTTTTTTTTTTTTTTAAGAAAGCATTATGCAGAATGGTTCACTTTTAGGGCATTTTTAAATAAAGCCATTCTTTGGCTTTTTTTTTTTTTTTTTTTTTTTTACAACTGTCTGTGGATACTTTGTTTACATTGTGTGAGTATTAAAACTTGCATCATCCTGACGGCAGCTCAGTCTCCTCCTCCGGGGACCCAACCCTAGCTGTCCGGTGGGCCCTCACACCGAGCACGGCCGTAACCGTGAGCCCGTGTGGATGAGCGGGGAACCCGGAGCTGACTTCCACCGTGTCCCGCACTCCCGCCCAGGCCCTGTATGGGAATGTCATTTCCTCAGTGATGGTGTGTCTTACAGTGATGGTTGTACTGGTGAATGGCTATTGTCATCTTTGTTTAATTCTGTTTTGTTTTTTGATGGTAGATGAGATGAAATTTTAGCTCTTTCATCACCAATCCAACTCAAAAGGATCTTGGGCTTTGTTTTCCCCTTCAACCTAAAAGAACAAGGTATGGATTAGACAAATGTATTGGATGTCTCAACTCACCCGGTCCCCGTATTAGGAAAAAGCCTGGTGCCAGAGCAGGCCGCTGCACCCTCCTAGCCCTTCTCCCCGGGCGTGGGGTCCCTGGAGGCCATGGAGAGCTCTCGCAAGGTGCTTCTCTCTCTTCCAGCCTGGAATGGAGGGTGACTCAGCCTGGCTCCTGCTATGGGAAGAGAGCTAGCCTCATTTTCTCAGAGCCCCAGAGCGCTAGGACAGGATTTCTAAACTGGAATCACACACACACTCACACACCCCAGGGGGCACTTGAACTGGCCCCAAGGGGTCTATGACCATCCGTGTCCTCACCACGGCACTGGCGGCAGCATCCCGTGTACACATGCAGAGCTAACGCCCAGGGCTTTCCTCGAGCTGATGACCCAGCCTGAAAACTGGATAATGCCCTGAAATGTTTCCCAGTCAGTAAGGCCACAGGGAGTTGATTTTTATGTTTTATTGGACTTGGTTTGCTTGATATAGCTTAAGGTGCCTTTTCTTTCTTTTCTTTTTTTTCTTTTTTCTTTCTCTCTACATTATTTTGTAGGGCTTGTTATAAATGTGGAAAACTAGTCCAATAGACTT